GCAGATCGGCTGTGGTGGACGGGCTGAGTAGTTCGGACGGAGCAGGTGGGGTGTGAAGGATCGAAGGAAGCATATGGTCCAGCTCCATCTCTTTTAAAAAACAAAAACAAAATATCATCGTTCGAGGCTAAGGCAACGTCTGAGGCGAGAGACTGAGAAGACCGCTTGCAGCGGGATTTAAGGGATTTAATCAGAGATTTTGCACAGGATTTCTGATAATACGAGGTTACAGCATTGAATGTGATTTGAACTTTTCCTTGACTTCTGATTTTATTCATTTAATAAAAAAATTTTGTTAAATTGAAATCAAAGTTAATGTTTTGGCATTGTTAATTCATTAATAGCACTAAGCATACAATGGCAATTATTAGTAATTTCCAATTTTTAATATCTGCCAAGAGAGATCAGGTCGAGATAATTTGTGATTATAAGGTATCTTGGTGCTGCAAATCCTGTCGTTCCTGTTAGCTATAGGAAGGGATGTAATGTTTGGATAGCCTGAGATTTCCAATTAAATAAGCAAACGGCCGTCTTTGGCAACTACTCTTCCCTCAAACTGATACTCTATGCTTTTAAATACGTGTGTGTGTGTGTGTGTGTGTGTATATATATATATATATAACACCCCTAGCAATGGATCGGCTTGACATTTATCAATCCCATTTTGCCTTCGAGCCCTCTCACATTCGGCATGTTAACAAATTTTAGTGACTCGAGGCATCAAAGTTGTCTAAAAGGAGGAAGAGTTTTCTCTTTTACCGCGCTCCGTCATTTCCATCATTTCTATATTGGCGATCCGATTAACATTGTCCACCCATATTGCCAACTTAGCAGAATCAGAATTTTTTCCTAAATTAATGAAATTTCGCCTCTCGACACATAATTTGGCCCTCCAAGTCTCCTCGGCATCCTTCACATTTTGAAGGAGTTTGATTCTTATTTGGCAGAAATCATTCATATGCTCCATAGTCATTCATTGAGACGTCCAAATGAATCCCAATGCCATCCATATTCAGACCAAATTATCTTTATCAAATGTATGATCTTGTGGAAGCATACAACAAAAATGCGAAACAATTTTATAGGTGATTCGTCAAAACTTTATAACACAATCTTAAGATGACATTGATAGGATTCTGACCCCATAAATTGCTTTCTAGAATTGCTCTCCAATACCTTTCATCCAAGTTTTTCCTCCAAGACACCACAGATGACATTGGTTGCCAATGGAGATCTTAAAAGATTTTTAACTATTTCTCCAACAATGACTTTTAATTAAATATATATTCTTAATATCGACGACGTTCGGGACGCAATGGCGCCATCCATTTTGTAATCGGCTGTCATTTTTCCACTGACGAGGCTAATGTCCTTCGTAATGTGTGCATTCGCAACACATTTGGATCGCCTTCAAAATTTACGACACTGTCTCAAACAATGTGATTTGATTAAATAAAATGTATATTCCCAATGCCAACGACGTTCTGGACGCAATGGCGCTGTCCGTTTGTCGATCGGACTTTGTTTGAGCATCGTCGAGGCCTCGTTTCCCTCGTAACGCATGTCTTTGGATCATATGCGGATCGCCTCGAAATTCACGACACCTCCTCAGATGAATCAAATTGATTAAATAAAATGTATATTCTTAATGTCGGCAACATTCTGGACGCAATGACGCAGTCCATTTTGCAATCGGACTTTGTTTGAGCATCGTCGAGACCTTTGCAGCCAATGGAGATCCAGAAAGCTTTTTGACTCTCTCCATCAATGGATCTTAATCCTTTATAATCATTAGGATTCTCTTCATCAGCAAATACATGAGAGTTAAGGAGTTGCAAACACTGATCTTCTTCTAGGCCCACTAAGAGATTCCAAAATATCTGCAATGACTTTTTCACATCATAAGTGTTGGAAATACAAACCCATATTTTAAGATCAAATTCCTTTGCCATTTTATCTTCATAAACATGTTGCAAGAGAGTTGTCTTTCCCATATCACCATGGCCCACTATAGATATAAGAGAAATGTTTCTGTACCGACTTGTCCGAGGCTCATTTGATGGCTTCCTCAACCACTAAATAACAAACTCCTTAGCCTCGCCTTTATTGATTAGATCATATGTAAGCAAGGATCCCGCGGTAGGGGTCAACAGAGACAGATTGAGAATGAATCATAGTGATATTCTTGACTAGACATTAGTTTTTTGTGAGCTGAAGTAGTTTTCATATTTGTCCACCTCGAAAAATTGTTGCGGATGGTGGATGAGTATTTTTGTTTTAAGTGTTTGATGGTTAATTTTATTTTAAATATCTTATTTTTGGATGATTATTTGGAATCTTAGATTTTTATGAGTATTTGAGATATATTTTAAAATGGTTACGGTCACCTTCGATTAAAATTTTCTATCAACACGACCATCATCAGGGTGTTTACGGGCATTTTTATTTCATTGATTGAATATTGTCGATTATGTCTACTTGCCGGCAAAAGAACGGGTTCCAATCTAAATTTATTTCTTGACCTGCCCAACATCCTCAAACATCACATGTCTATCTACAACACGCTCGTAGGGGCCCATGCGGGTATATGCTATTACATGTATTTTGCATGATGCATTTATATGGTTATTAAATATACATAGTGGATGTATATATGCATCTGCATGTATCACGTATATTGGCCTATACATTTTGCATTTCATGTTTGCACACTATAGTTGCAGTGTGTGGCATTTTTGCATGTAGATAGAATATTGTATGATATTGCTTGAATGAAATCCTCTGCATCCTACAAATGCATGCAGAAGGTCATTTTAAAATGTAATTGCAATGTCGAATGACATGCTCGAATAAAACTCTCTACATCCTACAAATGCATGCAAGAGGTCTTTTTGAATTGTGATTACAATGTCAAATGACATATTGTAGTGAAATCTTCTGCAAATTGCAAATGCATGCAAGAGATCACTTTGAATTATGATTCTAATGACAAATGACATACTTGAGTGAAACCTTCTGTATATTGCAAATGCATATAAATTATAGGATGCATGATATTGTTGGATTGAACTCCTTTGCATATTGCAAATGCTTACAGGAGGATACTGTGGAATGTGATTGCAATGTCAAATGACATGCTTAAATGAAACCCCTGCATCCTAATGATACATGCATAAGGTCATTTGAAAATATAATTGTAATATCAGATGACACATTTGAATGAAATCCTACAGATTTATGCAGAAGATTATTTTGAAATGTAACAATGATGTTGAATGACAAGCTAAAATGAAAATCCTCGGCATCTTACAAATACATGTCGGAGGTTATTTTGAGGTGTAGTAGCAAAGTCAAACGACGTGCTAGAATGAAATCCTCAGCACCCTACAAATGCATGTCGAAGGTCACTTTGAAATATACTTGCAATGTCGGATGACATACCCGTATAGCGTATTTTGCAAGTTAAATAACATGCATATGCAACATATCAGCATGTAAATGCAATGCATTTGTAACAATTAAATGTATCTCGCAATGTTGGATAACATTTTTAAATGAATTATCATGCATGTTGCAATGCGTTAATGAGGGACATTTTAAAAAAATTTGCATGCAATGCAAAGGGATATTTTTGTGATTGTCGACTATGCGAATAACCACTATTAATAAATGCGCCGAATTTCATTTAAAAATCTCCAAACGCCTTCTGTCGATTTGCATGAACATTGCAGATCTGGTGGTGCTACATGGCGCTTCAGTGATTGTATAACAAGTCCTTCATCATTGCATGTAGAAGGTGTTTATACTCTTTACAGTAGGCTGGAATTATTTGGAATTGATTGAATATCATTACTTATGTACATTGAAGATACTGTTTGTTGGAAGTCCCCTACTTGTTCATTTATGCTTGATTGAATGGATTGAGCTTATCATTTGACATCCGCATTTCTTTATTTAATTGTGCATTTTAAAATTTAGGGCTTTGTTCCCTGCCATTCAGTTCAAATTTAGTTCCCTATTATTCTGTTTGAATCAAGCCCCCTATTGATCATTTGAATTTTGGGATATTTCACTTTAAATTTGGCAGCACCCCGTTTAGGGGAAATTTGGAGAGTCAAAACCTTCCCACCACGTCAAGAAAGACGTGCACAATCGGTGTCGTGTGACACAGCAGCCTAGTCTTCAATCCCACCACGCCAAGCAAGGCATGTATGGGTCTGCAGGGTACCTTCTTTGAAATGCACAATTCTTTCCCCACAAGCACTGAGGTGCATATGGGTACTTAAAGTTGTCCATGTCACGCTAAGAAAAGTGTGTATAGGGCCTACCTGCCTCGTTGCAGGAGTCGCGCCGAAATGTCGTGGGGAGAACGACGTGCAAACGACGCCGAATAGGTATGCATGTTTTGTTTTTATTCTTTTTTTTTTTTACTGTCGTTTAGAGGTCAACAAGGTAAAGTAATAAATTCAACTTTGATTCAATATTTCTGAGCAATTGATAATGTTTCTAGGCAAGATTCAATTCTACATTAGGTGTAATCTGACTTAATATGAGATGTAAAAAGGAGTTAATGGTGTGCAGATTAATAAGTCAACCATAATTTTATAATTGCATTTGCAACAAAAAGCTCATTGGTTGGCAATTAGAATAACAAATGAGGTATTAGTAGGCCCAATACCATTAAAGAAGTCCCATTTAAGCACATGCGCATTAGAGCAAGCCCATCAATACGTTTAGAAGGTTGGGTTTACAAGCTGACCCAGACGACTTGATAGCGCCGCATTAAAGGGCATATATCTCATGATTGTTTAATATGTTACCTTGTGAAAATAGTTGCATCAATGTGGAAAAATAATTTGCAAGGATATAAACAGAGATGAGAAATAAAAGCAGATATGGAGCAAGTCTACTCAAGCTTGAATCAAGGAGCAGTGATGGCTAGCCAATTTAATGATGAAAAAATTCTGTTATGGTACTATATGTAATCAAACTCACCCCAAGGCAGGCATCTTCAATACAAACATATTGCTGGCTAGTTGAAGGAGCATCTGGATCTGTTTTAGGCTCTTTGTTTCCTGCATAAGCATAAGCACATGGATAAGCTTGAGCTATGTCAATTAGTTGGTTGGTAAGGCATACTCAGATAAATCTCCAAAGCTTATCTGTACATGGAATAAAAAAATGCATCAAAAAGTGATTTTTTTTGCAATTGAATAAAGGGATCACGAAAACTTCCAGATATCATACTTTCAAAGAAATTACCAGCTAAGCTCATTCTATGCACTATGTAAATGTCACGCATCCATATATTAATTTTTCTTCAGATGTTATAAACACACTAATTTTTATTTTAACCGATCTAATTTCAGATTTAATCAATATGAATTGCTGCAACCATCAAGTAAGAAAAACTTCAAATAGGTTTAATGAGTGTTACCCAAGTTTTTATATTTGAAAGAAGCTTAATTGGATAGAAGTAGAAAACGAATCGTTAACACTTATTAGTCTGAGTCTGGTTAGGCAAAATTAACTACTAAATAAAGATGGCAAATCAGAACCCAAAAAGAAGGAGAACTTACTAGCAGCACGCTTGCCCTCGCTATGCTTCCTGTATGTCAGCAACTTCATCTTTCTGAGACGAAGATGGTGATGGAGATTTATAAAGTGAAACAGGCCTTTCATGCAACCCGGAAAAGACCGGCCGTAGCTCTCCTCTTCCATTTAATCCTCGCAACCAGCAACAAACGAACAAATCTGGTAGATTCATATCAAATGAACAAAGTTTCATGCATAAGATCCCAAAATCACCGAAATGCATTAAACGTCAAGTTGCTGAATCGATTGTTGGAACCATTAAGGGAAAGGAAAGTATATAATCAAATACCGTTAGATAGTAAAGGAAGCGGGAGGTTAGGGTGACGAAATCTAGAGTCTTTGGAAAGGCCACCCCTCTTTGATTTGAGATTTTCTTTTGATGATGATTTGGATACGAAAACCGTCGGCGTGCTTCTTCCGCGATTAAACGAGGACAACCGCATCGCTGGGCCGCGCGGAGAGATTGAGAGGCTGTTGAGAATGGATGGACCGATGGAGCAGACCGGAAATGATATTCCCGTTGGAGGAAGAACCGGAAGGGAGGCGGGAATCATAGGATGGCACCAAATAAATATAATTTTAATTATTTCAAAAAAATAATAATTAAAATATCCTGAATTTTTTTTTGAAAATAGAATATTCTAAGTTCCAAGCTAATTTTTTTATTTTAAAATATAAATATTACTTTTAATTAAAAAATACTTTAATCTAAGAATATATAACATTAAAAAATAACTAATTTTAATGAGTGCCTACTATTAATATACATTTATTATTAATAATAATACTGATAATAATAAATAACACCATAAATGAAATATTCATTGTTTTCCTTCCACATGATTCAAAACTATATATAAAAAAACCTCTTCCAACAGGATGAATAAGGTACGCGATCACAATAAACTAGTCCATAATTTAGTAAGAACAATCTGATTGCACTCTTCTCCAATAGGGATATTTATTCAAAAATATTTGGTAACAAACTCAAAGTACAATGTGCTTTTTGACAGAAGAAGATATAATATTTTTTTATTAAAAATACATAAAATCATGTTAAATGTCAGTGTCCATGAAGAAATAGTACCAATCTTTTGGAATTCTTTCAGATATTGGATTGTATGTGACTGCATAGATTTCAGATAATAATTATTATTTATTGTTCACTTATTCTATATTGGCAAGAGCATCATGCATTTAGGTATTCATACCAATTATCAAAAGTTGTTAAAGCAATGTACGGTAAACATGAAGTACACTTCATCAATGAATGACAAGAGTTGTTTTACTGTATGATAGAGAAAATACCTTATTGGCAAATTCTTTCAAACATGAGTTGCCATTTATGAAAGAAATAATATTAGTCCTCTTGATTGCTTTCCTTTGGATTTTCAAATCTATATATATATATATATATATATATATATGAATAAAAAAGGAGAATTTACATACATATCACTGTATTTCATGTTATTTACATATCTAACACTAAAAATATTAATATTACATGCCTACAACCCATGAAACAAATTTGAATGCATGAAATAAAATATTAAAATTTATAGAATGATATGAATGATAGAAATAAATTATATGAGTGGTATATTTGATATTAAAGTTGTATATGCATGATAGGCACATAATATTAATATTTAGAGTGTTACATATGTAAATAACATGAAATAAAGTGGTATGTATGTAAATTTCACTTAAAATAAGGCAAAACATTTAGCCAAGAAAATACTTGATCCCACCTCAAAACATATACGAGCCCATAATTTCAGTTGTGTTACATCTGAGAAAAAGAACGTGTTTAAAGTATGAACAGCTCATCTTAATCTATTGGTTGTGAACTTTGACTATCAACTAAAAAGCCTGGAGTTCGAGTTTTATCTATATGATGTGCGTGTGAGTTTGCTTTAATTAACCTAAATCTCCCAAAAAAAAAATATGAACAGTTAGTTGTTACAGGCAACCCCCACCTTTGAAAATTACAACGGTAATCAAGATTTTCAAAAAATGTATCTTAATCTAAAAAAACATTTGGACATTAGAACTATATTAATTGTCACACTGTAAATCTCACCCTGCAGTTTTTCGTATGATCGATCAGATCTGGCGTGCAAGATTTTTGAAGGCATGATTTGAGATTCAATGAAGAATGGACAGCCCCGGACAGATTACTACTGCCCTTTCTACAATTTTCATATTTATAAAACCAGAAGCGCACATTGGCTTGACCAAATATTTTCTTCCTCGTTAAGTATTTATAAGCCATGACTGCGTCAGCCTGGTGCAGGAAAACTACCTGACCAACTCCTGTGTAAAAGAAAACCTTCGTTCTTGTAAGGTCCAAAGGGCCGAAAACACTGAACTTCTTCTCAAGTTGTTCTTTTGTGGGCAGAGTATAATCCATTGGGAACTTCATATTCAATAACACACACGATTTTCTGAGGCTATTATCATCCAAAGGCGAACGAAGCCCGTTCCGCACCAACGGCGAAATATAAAAAGCCTTAGAGTTCGATTCAAGACGGCGATGCCGCCGAGGATGGTTTTGGCTGCTAAACTGGAATTCAGAAATCTTTCTTGTGTTAGCAGAAATGTGCAGAGCCGTTTCTGCAAAAGGAGCCATTTCAGGAATCAAAGAGATACAGTGAGCCATTTCTGGGCTAGACTGAGGCTTAATGGCGAAATTCAAGACTTCGATGGGGGGAAATGCACTGCATTTGTTAATAGGGAGGCTGTGCAATTGTCCCCTATACAAAGGCACTGTCCGTAGTGATGGGTTTTCTCCCTCTCCTGTTGTTTTTTCTAAGTTTGGCACTATAGATCTATAAGATGTAGATTCTTCTCCTACCTGAACATTATGGGTTGAATCACTTGTATTTCTGTATGTATCCCTACTACCTGCTGAAGGGCCCTCATTCATATCCATCTGATGGTGATTATAAATCAGAGATTCGTACTTCGCATCCGTATCGAGGATAGTGAAGTCTGCCATGTTGATCACACACATCTCCCTGACCTTCTGGTTAAAATTCACATCTAGCAAGTCATGTTCTTCTGGTGGTTTAATGGAAAGATCAACCTCTGGCTCTCTAGTCCTCCTTCCATGATATAACTCATCCTCAGATGTGCAAACTGGAAGTTCCAGATCTACTAGTACATAAAACGTGGGTGAGCATGAAATGAGTATAATAGATTTGAAGGTAATGCAGCTCTTGTATTAAGAACATGTTATGTGGCAAGAAGTGTAGAAACAAGTATTTGCGTGATGGAAAAGAATGCTTAACCACTTAAAGCTACTAAGGATTCGTTTGGAACGGTTTTCTTACTACTTCTTAATGCAACTTTTTAATATAAAAATTTTAATTTTTGTAGTAGAAAGCTGCTTTGAGAAGCAGCAAGAAAGTCATCCCAAATGAAGCCTAAATCTTTAATTCCAATCGGATGCAGGAAACAATGTTTGGGCATGTTTATGGAAAGAGGATGTCCAAGATAACGGAGCAAATTACTCTGCTTATTATGGAATAAAAAGGGATCAACGTAATTTTTATCTTCAAGGTTATGGGACATTATTAAAGAGATAAAATATAATTGAAACACTTTCTGAAACATGGAAGGAAAAAATTCATTGTCACCATTAGCCTTATCCCACTTTTTTGAGTGCGGCTATGTAAGTTATTATTTTCCATTCGTTCTTACTGAGTGATGTCGAAGGTGTTGAATATATTCTTTAAAATCATTTTGAACAACTTATATCCACATAACCTTAACTCTATTCATTTTTCTTTATAATCCTTCGACACTAATTTTACCAACTCATACAATAAATGCATTTTATATCATTTGTTGCACATTTCCAAATCACGCAACATGATTTTTAATTACCTTATCATTTAGTAAATGTAACTTAATATTGGGCTAGGCCCCGTGGTTTTTCCCCCTTTTACAGGGGTTTTCCACGTAAAAATCTTGGTGTCTCATAAATGCTAGACCCTCTCTCCTTATCTGATTGCGTGTCGGATTTTCGTACAATGCTAAGACGTTAAATATGATATTTTTCTACCGCCGCGAATACTCCTGGCAGCAACAAATATATAATCATTTCTTAATTTATTATTCATATTTTTGTCACACATATATCACAAATATTCTTATTTTAGCTAAGCTCGACTTAGCTATCAATGATTTTTTTCCTGCCCAACATTTAGATTCACATAGCACGTTCAGGCTAATTGCAGTTTTATAAAATCATCAAGAAGTTCAAATGAGACACACTTAACAGTATATGAGTACAATACTCGTTAAGCACTTCTTCATTTTAAACATCCAATCTCAACACTATAAATATCACCATCTATAGCCTCAATTTTTTCTCTAACATATCATAGCAGTGTTATTAAAGGTGCTAGATACCCTAAAGCGACATGATTGCCTAAGGTGTTAAGTGCAATCCAAGGCCCTCACTAGAGCAAGATAAAGAGTTAAAAAAAATTTCTCTTGCTCTAGTCATGAAGAATATTTTTAAGGATACAAGGAGCACAATATGATAATCATCATAATAAAATATTAAAATATACTTGGCACAAAAATATACATTTTTAAGTTTCGTATTGTTCCAGATACCACAATAGAAGATAGATTGTATAAAATAAAATGCCCAGAAGAATCATAAGTTATATTCCAAATTTAAACAAACAAAATTTTAACTATTTTTAGAAGGGTGTTTTAATAATTTTGTAAAAATACAAAAAAAAAACTTCCATACATATCAATAGCGCAAACGCACACGACTAGGCGCGGAACACATACGGCGCTATTTGTTTGGCGCTACGCGACACATCAAACTAATACTTGCTATTTGCGCTATGCATAGGCAATGGCGCGGGTAGCATGCACAACTTTGATAGCATGTTATAAATTTAAAATTATTAATTATAATTAATTTTTTAAAAGTTTATATATTACTGCCACAATTAATTATTTTATAAAATATCAAAAAAAAAATAAAGGATTTAACTTTTTATAGGATTAGCTATCATTTTTAAGCTTAAATTTTGCTCAAATCAAACTATTGTTTGTTTCTTAATGGTGTACAATATATGTGTATTTATATTATGCATCATGTTTAAATGGCGTGCATTGTGTCGTGCGCTATGCTCCGTGACACCATGGGAAACTTTATGTCATGGCACGCCATTCGTCATTGACAAGTATGACTCCATCGAATAGTTAATATTGATGTTATTGAACATAGATCGTTTATCAGATATTTTGGTGTTTTAATGATATCAAAATAAATGATCTTGTACTCGTTAGATTCATCTTGTCGAGTCACTCAAGTTGACTCTAAGCACATAAGATTTAGAGACTATAAGATCCTTCAATTAATGTTCAGACATTTTCAAATATGCTTCGCGTGTTTAATATAGGTTATTTGGACTCAAATCAAATCATTATTATATTCATGGGTTCATCTTGTCAAAAAATCGTTTAAGCATCAAAACTTAGAGAATATATCAAAACATACAGATACTCGCACATGTGCATTAGTGCGCGATCTTAATATAGATCTCAACATGCAAAGAAACCATGTAAAGCATGAAAATTCACCAATGTAGCCCCCACGCTTCCGAGCTATCTCATATATTAATATGTATCCAAGACATGAAGTTTCATGTTGATGGTTAAAGATGGCAAATGTTATAACTAATTCAAGGAATCCGCTTCCTTTGCTATAATACAATATGCTACATAAATAAATAAATGAATGCATTGACAAATCATAAACATTTTATTTAACCACACAGAAGTATCACAAGTGCTATTAAAAAAATGACATCCCAAAAAACATGGCATAGACAACTATACAGGGAATCCTAAAGAATAAGTTTCTTAAAATGTAAATATCCATCATACCTTCAATCGTACGATTCTCTAAACTATCATCCTCGAACTCCCAATCCAGCTGATAAAACCAAGCTGGCTTCACTGAAGTAAACCGCCGAAAGGCATACAGCTGAGCCACTACCTTATCACCAACACTTCGATTAACAGCCATATGAAGAACAAAATCCAAAAAACCTTCTGCACAAAACCCTTCATCCACTTCACTCGTGTTACACACTACCACTCCATACCGAAAAGCATTTAACGCAGCGGAAACCCGAACTACAGTCGCAATCTCGCCCTCAACAACTTGCGGTGAAACAGCCTTATCGAGCACAAAACAAGAGATCTCCTGCGGATTAAAACCCCTCTTCACAGCCAACAACCCATCATCATCCGCAGCAGAAACGCTACAACAACACTTCAAACCCACCGCAGTGTTCCTCGCTAGCTCATCCAATGCAAGATCTATCTCATATGATAACTTCGCTTTCACCATTCTTACCATCCGAGGATAAGTCTCTTCGAATCGAAGAATATCCGACGAGTTGAACCAGCGCGTTTTATTGCTGCCGAAGAACAATATCGAGATAAGGGGTCCCCTGAAACCCTTGACTTTGCTTGGCCGCCAAGTGACAGTGGAAGTCTTTGCCCAAACAAGGTCTCCTATTGCCAAACTTTGGAGAGCAGAGCTCTTCATTCCTTTGCCTCTTTGGTTTTTCTTGAGTGCTTCGCGGTTCTTAGAATGCCGACGCTTCGCCGCGGAAGAGTGGACCGAGTGGTCGGCATGGGGAGAAGCGCGTCGAAGACGGGATTTGAACAGATTCGATAAGGTCGACTCGTCTTCCTCATCCATTGGGTAGTGTCGAGGAAGAAACCCTAATTTGTTGCTGAGCTGTAGTGCGGCAAAATTTATATAGTTGGGCGCGGCGACCCATTTCAAGAATGAGCGCTAATGTGGAAAGACTTCAAACTTTTTATTTTTGGAGAAATTATTCAATATAGTGGTATACAGCTATATAATAACAAAAAAAAAGTACACAGCTCTCCTTGGCCTATTGGTTGAGAGCTAAGGCTTCCAACTAAGAGGTTTAAGATTCGAGTCTCTGTGTATGCGTTGTGTGTGAATTTGCCTTAAATGTCCAAAAAAAAAAAAAGCCACGTGGCGCATTTTAATTTGTCTTTGGAATCGGCGCAGAATAATTTTATTAATTTAACAAATTTTAGGGGTTGTTTAGTATTGGATTTAACCTTCGAATTTAGTAAATCTTGTAAATTTAAATTTTTTAAATTCGGAGGATATTAAATTTTGATAAATTCTGAGAAATTATTTGACAACATAATCTTAAATTTAATTTTTTAAGATTGTTTGTTGATTTAAAAATTAAATTTAATATGCTTTGAATTTAGTTTACATCTTAACGATGAGTTACTTATTAACTTTAATTTTAATTATCTTTAAAAATTTATAATGATAAATAATATAATTAAATATTAGTTTAATTATTACTAATCATCTAATTAATTACTCAAGTGTTACTTAGAAAAATACTTATTATATTAATAATTATCTAAATATATTCTTAAATTCTAATTAATGAATTATTTAATCTTTGAAATTATAAATCATTTAGCTAATACTCATATTAATAATTTAATTTATTATTTAAGTATTAAACTAATTTAATGACAAATGTACTACTAATAACTATACTAACCAATAAATTACGAATATTAATTAAATTAATGTAATGACAATTGTCTTAATAATTATTCAAGTATATATAACTTAGATTAATTTATAATTTGGGAGGCATTTTCATCTTTTATTATTCTCCTCATCCGCTTTTCCTCGTCGCCATTTCTTCCTAGCTGCTTTAGCTTTGCGGGCTATGCATGCTTCACGCGACGAGAGCTTTGCCTCCATTGAAGCCGTCGAATCGTAAGTCACAACGAGAGCTCACAGGTTGTATAATGCATAGGTAACCACCTTCTCCTCCTCGTTCCTTCAAGACGGGAGCTAGTTAAATCGCAAGCTCATAAATCCAGTAGTCAGTAAATCTATAAATCTACCAAACGATGGGATTTAGTAAATCTCGAATTTACACTGTAAATCCATAAATCCAGGACTTATGCGGAATTGGGATTTACGGAGCACTCCTAAACTATCTGGCAATATTTACCATAAATCTCACGTAAATTAGAGTACAAATCCGATACCAAACAGCCCCTTAGACTTTATATTTGGGATCATTAGTTAAAAAAAAAATTATTAGCATGAATTGAAAATATAATTTTTATAATTTATTGGTCACCATTTAGAAAAAATCAAAAGGCCATTAACTAATTAAGCTAGAGAAGAGTGGGAAGTCAAATATTCAATTTTTAAGATAATTATCCAAAGTATTGAAAAAATTTAGTTTAAGGGGCTATTTAATTGGAAAGTATTTATAATTTAGTGCATTCTAAATGTTCAAAAAATTTTGGAAGTATCATTTTGTTATTTAATCTAAAAGTAAGTTTTGTGAATACAAAAGCATGATAAGATATTGATTTTCATTAAGATTAGTTCCATAAACATTCCGTTTGTGATGTTATGCTGCTTCACTCATAAGCCATAACAATTCTTGACAAGTTGACGGAGACATAGAGAGAGGAAGAGAGAGAACCACCAACATATTTCCTCTCCTCTCTCTAAGAGTAAGAGAGAGAAAACTTCATGTTCATATGACTACATTGCACCCACTCTTTTTTTTTTTTTTCAACCATACCAATTCTTTTAAGACTTCTCTGAGATATAATTGGAGTATCACTCCTGCCAACAAATTTATTAGTAAAAAGAAACTCCAAAAATACCTCTCTCTCTCCTCTCAAGAAACACCAGACGAAAAGCACCATTCAATTTTATCTCTGTGAATAATAAAAATGCAGCATGAACAATAAAAACGCAGTTCACTGTGCTTTTACTGTTCACAGAGACAAACCAAACCGTTCTTTTCGTCCGATATCCACACAAAATAATTCTCTCTCTCTCTCTCTCTCTCTATATATATATAATATTTTTTTTTTTTCTATTCTTTTTTTCATCAAATCTATATATATACTCTATCTATCTATCCCAACTCAGAACCATATATGCTTACAATAGTACTAGTAGTTATGACAGAAATAGAGAGGCAGGTCAAAGTTTTACTATTTTAGCTTAGGTAACTAATAGTTCAGAGAAAGAGGTGATCTGAACACAGCAGTATTGCCATATATGCTTACAATAGTAATTAGTACTTATAAGAGCAATAGAGAGGCTGGTGTTTCACTACTTTAGTTTAGGTAACTAATAGTTCAGAGAGGAGTTGATTCTATGTTGATTCCAGCAGAAATTATTCTGTACGGAGACCGGATGCAGAACGTCGTCCGAAGACTAACTAGAATGTGTCACGTCAGTGATACCAAGCCGCAGTACTGAGCACAGGGGTGATGTGGTGCATTCTGATTGATCTCCTGACGTAGCGTATTCTGATCGGTCTCCGGACGGCATTCTGCATCCAATCTCTGCACATAATAATTAATCTGATTCCAGGCACCTGAACACAGCAGGATTGTAATTATGAGCATTTCAGGAATTGAATCCTAAGGATCCGATTGAGATGGATGCCATTGTTCATAAATTGTCATGAAAAACAATAAAAATTTCTAAAATTATTCTGATAATTTTAAAAATATACAACTATAGTGGGTTGAATCTCTTGGAGTGATTCAAGTTCAATAAAGCTCCTGTTTGTGCATTATATATAAGACCATGACAGTATGATTCAAGACATCAATTCCATTGCATGATCTCAGAATAAAAAATGGATTTATTGAAATCAATTACTCCAAATCCAAAATTTTGTCCATCAAACGATTATAATTAATGGTAATAAATATCAACTATGCAAGTACAGAAATCATCTCTTCATTTGGACAATCACTCGACTGTTTCTACTTCCGTCATCATGCACCTACACCTAAAATACTCAACAATCGATTAATCTCCATCGGCCAAAAACATGGGCTACTATGCAGTAAAAACTATAAAAGGAACAGACCAGATATTTAGAATTTAAGAAACATAAATACTTGATGTGAGGTACCATTCATGACTGCCGTAGAAAGAAAATGTTATCCTTGATGCTTGTTGCAGAAAAATATCGCTATCCATGATATATGGTCCTTGCTTGCCACAACTAATCTTCAATCAGAACCCTTCTTGTTCCTGAAGTTCTCCTTCATCAATGTAAACTTCTTTTTGCATTGGTTAACAGTTTTCCCTGGCACTGCAGCAGCAACCCTTTCCCAACGCTGGCTGGTCTCTTTTGGAAATGTTTTCAGTGCTTGGATCAGAGCTCTTTCTTGCGTAGATGACCATGGATCCTCCATACCTGAAGAAGTTCCATTAGAAAGAGGAAATTCTCCAACTGTACTATCCTGGCTGCTATCATTGACTGAAGACAGATTTGTTGCTTTGGCTGAAGGCTTCTCCGCAGCTCCATTAGCAGAAAGACCTTCTGATTCTACTCTAGTGGTGAGAGGTGATTCAATGGATGGTGCAGGCTTTCTCTTCTCAAGGAAAGTACCGAAGGCATTTGCAGAGTCTGGTTTCTGCAGAAGAACTGTCTTAGTAGCCTTTAGAATCTCTTCAACTGATCTCCCAGTTCCAATATACTCAGAAATAACCTCCCACCTCCTAGAAGTTCCCTTAGGGTATTTTTGCACGCCTTTTCTCAGCATCTCAATTTCTTCCTTCCCCCAGGGTTTTTCCTTCTTCTCAGAGTTTAATATGCTGCCAGGCATGACTGCTGCAGCACAATGACCTGAAGAGCTATTTGGTTGCAAATGTTTTCCTTCTGGTTCTGCAGCGTGAGAATTCCCTATATTCAATGCACTATTTAGCAAATGTGCTCTATCAAATCCTTCCTTGTGTTCCATGTTATCACACAAAATTCTAAGCTGCTCCATCCCTAGAGACGTGCATAAGCTTTCAACATCTTCTTCTGAAAGATCTAGCAAGGATTTGGAGACCAAAGACGAAGAAAGAGATCGTAACCGGTTCCTCTCCTTCCGTAGAACCTTTTTATCCTTCTCTTTTTGCTTCTTCTGAGTCAAGGCAATTTCAGCTGCTCTTTTTTCCTCTTCTTCTTTCACTCGTTTTTCCTCTTCAGCAGCCCTTGCAGCCTCTTCCTCCTGCAATTTTTTTGCCAGAAATTTTGCCTCCTTTCTCTTCTGCTTCTCAACCTTTTCCTCCTCCTTTCTCCTAAGTATTCTAGGGTCTCTCTTATATGCACTGTCAACGAGAGCGCGAATGCGGGCATATTCTTCTTTTTTGGCTTTCTCTCTAAGCTTGGAATTCTGCCGCTCCATCCATCTTTTATGATCACGGGACTCAGCCTGCTCTAGATCAAACTCATCTGCATGGGGGAACTCCCTCCAACTTTTAAAAGTATACCAGAAGTTATAGAAGCTGTCCACCTCAGCCATTATAGTTTTGTCTTCCCCTAAACAAGGAGCAGGCTGACTTACAGACCACCTTGCATTCCTCAAGAATGCTGGACCAAAGACCTTGAAGAAGTCCTGAGGTGCACATTCAGTGGGAATTTCATCATCAAACTCGTCTGTGGAGTCATAGATCCTTCTCTTCAAAGGATCTATAAGAATCTCATATGCTTCTTGAATGGATTTGAAATGGTTTTCTATCTCATCCTTCTTTTCTTGTTTCGCCGCATCTGTTTCTTCAGCGAGAAGAATAGCAGCCTGCTTATCAGGATGATATTTCAAGGCAGTTTCACGGTAGCTCTTACGTATCTGCTCCTCAGTAGCCAGGAAACGCAAATGTCCCAAGCCTAATAGCGCATAATGGTCTTGTTGCTTGTCCCCAGAACCAGATTTCTTTTTTCCTTTGTTACTATAGAAATCTGATGATGGCATATAAGACTGGTTTCTGTCATCAGAAAATTCACTTTGTTCATCTCTGTCTGTTTCTTCTTCATAACAACCAAGAAATTTACGAGCAGCAGAATGAAATGAATGCCCTGCAGGTTCATAATTTAATGCCTTGATGGGAAGGCAGTTTGAAGAGACGGCCACTGGCTCTCCATCTAGAAGCTCTTCTGAATAGGTAATAAGCAGAAGGTTCCTCAAGCCCTCCATACTGAAGGAGGTAGAATAAACCTTCGTGCTTATTGGTAACAGATAGTGCGGACAATTACAGGATCTTCTGATGCCGAGTCTGAAAAAAAGGTTTCTAAATGTACCAGATAATCAATTATCTAGCAACAATCAACAATCTGCAATTGATCAACGCTATACATCAGGGAAGCTAATTAATGAGAAACATATCGAAGGGGGGGTAAAAATAAGCAGACATCAACAATATACTTATAATGACATCAACTATATACAAATATTTTATAATAAAAAAAAGAAAAAAAAATAATGACACCAACTATATAAAGGTCATAACAAGCACATTTTAGAATATTAAGGCTTCGTTTGGGACGGCTTTTTTAATGCTTCTTAAAACAGCTTTTTAGTTAAAAAAATTGATTTTTCTACTAAAAAACTGCTTTAAGAAGCAGTGATAAAGTCGTCCCAAATGAAGCCTAAGTTCAATGAAGCATTGAAATCAAGGATCCAGTTTGTGATTTTCAAAAATGGAAAGTAGATAAATGCATGTCATATGCCTTGTTTTCAATAAACTAAATGCAATATTGGTATCTCTAAACATTCGTTTAGCAACCACATGGCCATGCAGGGAAGACAAACAATATCTACAGTTCAGCACTACATGCTCATAACGTCATTTACTATTGTACTTTATTGTCTTTATTTAGTTGGTATGTCATTTAAACTTAGAGGTTATTTGATCGATTGTTTATGTTAATTTGGTTATTTGTTAACATCCATCAGTTTCTCAAATATAAAATAATTCAATACAAACAATGTCGGGCTTTTATTTTGAAATAACCTCTGTACAAGTAGAAAAAACACTGGCTCAAAATGAGGAACTTTTCATTTTTAAATTACAGTGGCGCTCGCCATCATGCCATTAGTAAGAAGTGATGAGTTCATTCATCTCATTGTAGCACACAACTTACTCTCCCATTACTACCAAAGGCCTGTTCATCTCTTAAGTAAGAAATAGAGCTCATACATCTCATAGTAGCACATAAATTATTTTAATCAAAGTGATGTTGAGTTGGACCAAGAGAGTCAAACTCAAAGCAGAATGTCACCATGTTCAAAGTATGATGCACTACACAATAAACAGTAAAATAAAAGAGAACAAACAATGGTTGCATCAATATTTATGAGGTTTTAATTCAACTAAACTTATATCTATATCTATGGGAGGGGAGAGAATCCGATTCACTTAAAATATAGAAGCCACAAATTTAATGCACACAATGTAAGGAATACACACTATGCATTCCCAGTCTCCAGTAAACTCGTACTCAACAAACAAAAAGCCTTATGAAACTCACAAATATAAGATGATTACCTCTCATCATGAGACTAGTCACAAAGATCAAATACAAAATTGGTGTAAAAGAAACACCTGAGATATATTTTTTAGAAAATATTAGGAATGACCTTTCTTTATTAGATTTAAACGAGAATTTGACTTTTAATAGGACACAATGGAGAAAAAGGATTCATGTAGCCGACCCCACGTAGTGGGATAAAAGCTTGATGTTGTTGTTTGTTGTTGTTGTTGTTATTATGAGAGCTATTTGTAAATTGTTATATATATTATTATGATAGTTTATTATCAATCATTACAAAAGTTTTAAATAAAGTCCATCATGCATGGGATGGCCAGGGAAATTCAAGAGACATTTGCAAATTCCAAAACTTGATTTTTGGAACTTCCATGAAGACTCGTTTATTTAAAACTTCTCAAATCTTGTATTAGGTTGGAAATATCCAAAGGGATAAAATGATCTGCCAAACCTTGTATTTAAAAGATTTCCATCTCCTATAATTATAATTTGAACAACATAGTGAAATCTATATAGCAGTGGATGTATGAGAGTCAATTTTCCCCATGAAAAATCTCTATTTACTGTGATCTTCATACAGTTTATCTTTTTATTCTTTCTTTTTAAGTTTTTAGCAACCAATTCATCCCTGAACTATGAAAGTAAGTCAACAAAATATCCATAATCAATCATCCATCAAAAACAAAATAACAACAGAGCTTCTGTTCAGTACCTGCAGATGAAAAACTGGCCATAACATAATTTACGGGGCAAAAAATAGTTTTCTTTAGGGACTGTTTGGATGCAGGATTTAACAGGATTTATGCCAATTTTGAGCAGGATTTATGCCAAATCCTGCCAAACGGTATTTGAGCGCCCGCTAAATCTCACGGCTGAATAAATCCTCCGTCTCCACCTTTGGACCGAAAAGCTCGGATTTAGTAAATCCTGAAATTTAGCGGACAGGGTTTGACCGAAGCAGCGCGAAAAAGGTAGAAAGTTACCTTCACAGTGAGCGATCTCCCGTAGTTGCTTCCGATTAAAATGTCGTGACTTCCGATCCAATAGGAAGGGAACGCCGTTGATGCAGTCGAAGAAGCGACTCGTGCAAAACTCTACCTCACGCGAAGCAACGAAGTCGAACAGCAACGATGAAATAGAGAAGATGATGAAGGCAAACCCTAGACGGCAGACGCCTATAACAGTACAAGTATAACCAATACTATTGGAAAGAAATTAATCTAATTTAACTTGATTAATCTAATTTAAAACATTAATAATTAAGCAAATTAATTAAATAATTAGTCCTATAATTAATGCATAAATTAAGTATCTAATTTATCTTAATTAAATAATTAATAATATAATTAGTAATTAAAATTAAGAAATTATTAATTATATAAGTAACGGTATAAATAACAATTAAATAATTAATAACTAGTAAAATACTTAAGTGATTAATGAGATAATTAATGATATAATTTATTAATTCATAATTAAAACTAATTAAATAATACTTAAATAATTAGTTATATATTTAGTTATTTCAAAAAAATAACTAATTAATTAGATAATTCTCAAAAAATTTAAATACCAAATATATTATTATTCTATTGACTGTAATTAAAATTGAATTTAATAAGTAATTTGTATTGAATACATAAATGTTACTCCATTAATTTAAGAAAATTATGGATGAGTCCTTATCAAAATATTGTTACTCTATATTCACAGCAAATTATTGCATCCGGTTACCTGACAGAGAGATCCGTTCGGATCTCTCTCTGTCTACAGTAACGCATCTCTCTGTCAGGTGACCGGATGCAATAATTTGCCCATATTCACAGAATTTTCTTCAATAAGTGCAGGTTTTGCTTAAACAAACTCAAATATATCAAAATAGTAAATGTTAAAAAGAATAACTTATTCTACTTTTTTTAAGCAACAAATTGAAATCTACCTAAATTTAAAAAGGTCAAAAAACCTGTAGAAGTTACTAACAAAGGTCATTATTTACGACTTCTATAGTGGCAGTTTAAGCCGTCACTATTAGAAGTGGTTTAAACCGCTGCTACTAGCAGCAACTAAAACTGTTGGTAAAAGCGATCGATAACAACGATTTTGAAACTGCTACCACCAAGTGATGTGGAAAAAAAAACAAATTTTTTGTAGTGATTTTTCAGATCGAAATCATAATTTCTATTTAATCACTATTTTTTCGTTGCTCTACTTTCTTGCACCATTTTTTTAAAATTAGTGGTTAAACATAAATTATGATTGTGATTTGAAAAACAAAGCAGTAAGAAAGCTATTCCTAACGAATCCTAAAGCAACCAAACTATAAAAACTATTTACTTCATTTATCTGCATAAATATTCATTAATTGTGATAGGCGGTCAAATAGATCGTGCAAAGAGTTGTAGCAACAAAGTGCTTTGTGTGGTGCGACTAGCGGAGGGAAACACGACGATGATGATGCAAAATAGGACTTGTATTTACTCTATATAAAGTTTTTATTTATTCATTTCTTTACGATAAAAATAACAATTAGAACTACTTAATGTGATTGTAAATATTATTGAGATCGATCAAGACGGTTGCAAATTGAGTTGTGATCATACATTTTACAAACAATCCTCCAAAAAAGATAAGCAATCACAAATACTTATTTGTCATAAACATTTTACAAACCTATTTATCCATTGATACAAATGGATTAAGCATAGCTCATTGGTAACTTCTTAATTGTGATTATGACCTAATTTTTTATAGTTTTAATATTTGATTCAAATTAATAGATATAAATATGTGGTTAATATTTATCCATTAAGATGATAATGTAATTACATATATTATAATATTCTTGAATTGTTGATCGATGATGAATCTAAGTTGACCGCCTATGAGTTTAGCATGTGTTACCCATATCCAAGTAAACTCAATCCAAGCTCACTCAATTTTTTATGGTTTGTTGCCATGACCTCCGCTTCTTTTTTAGATAAGTATCAAATTCGAGTCTTCATTTATCAAATAATCTATAGTCTAGTATATAAATAAAAGCCTTATTTAAGTTGGTCAGAGGAACATTTTTGTAAGGTTGGAATTTTCACGAAAGATATAGACATCCTTTGAAGCCTCAAGCTGCCACCCTACTTGTTATCTCTCTGAGAAGTGAAGAGCTACCGTCACATCTATCATAAAATGGAGGAGTGATTGCTTTTATTTATCGATTCACAATCGATGCCATCACGTTGTGCACGTCATGGCTATCATATTAAGATTTTCACAATCAATCCTCAAAGGTTCGGATAGATACACCCGGTGTCAGGTCTAGTATTATACCCCGTCACCCAATTTATTCATAATCATTATCTTATAACCCTCCATTGCTCCAAGATTCAACACTTCGAAGTAACAACTGGCTTACATCTATCACTTATGAAAAAAAAAATAAATATATCACACACAAATTTTAATTATGATGTGTCCCAAAACTTTTGATCTGATCTTATATTGCTTTTATCTCAATATATGTAAAAAAAAAATTAAAATTAAAATGCATCCAAACTAATTTTGCATCAAAATATCAAAAAACAAACAAATATTCCTTTGTTCTTTATTTTGCACCTCATCAAAGCTCATCCGCACTTGCCATAAACCAATTTTATTTAACATATATATATATATATATATACGATTGTCATCGTACACTTGACATGATGGGGGTGTAGCTCATATGGTAGAGCGCTCGCTTCGCATGCGAGAGGCACGGGGTTCGATTCCCCGCACCTCCATTTTCTTTTTTTTGTCAAATTTACGAAAAAACTTCACAACTCAGAATAAAATCATTATTACTATATCATTTTTGCCATTTCTCCAACATAATACTTTCTCAGTCAATCATTTTAATTTTATCACATCAACGTTATCTTCAAAGACATATCTGCCTCTTCAAAGAAAACTAGTTTTTGCCTATCAAAAGGGGAGAACTTTGAATAATTTATCAGCAGGAGAATGAAACAGTTCAGTATGTGGGAACAGAGGGATCGGCCTTGAGAGAGTAAGCATGAATTCCTCCTGACACGTTAAACACACGCTTGAATCCCTGCGAAATGCCACAACAAATGATTAAAAGAAGAAAAAAAATAAATTATTAAAGTTCTCATGAGACAATTTTTTATCTGCAGCTACTAACAGAGCCTATTTTGTTATTTTGCTTTTGATGGATGATTGATCATGGCTCTTGTGTTTTCTTTTACTTTCATAGTTCAGGAATGTTATGGTTGCTAAAAAAATAAACAGAAGGTAGCCATAGAGATTGAAGAACAAACAATTATATAGATCTCCGCATCTCAGAGCAAAAACATCCTGAAGTTCATGGGGAGGAACAATGGCCTATAATACGATTAAGTCTTCATTTGGGATGACTTTTTTACTGCTTTTTAAAATAGTTTTTTAGTACATAAAATTTAATTTTTGTACTGTAAAGCTGCTTTAAGAAGCAGTAAAAAAACTATCCCAAATGGAAGCTAAATATAATAATTATTTCACCAAAATACAGCTTACCTGTGTCTGCAACCATTTTGCAACCTGCGACGATCTCACACCATGGTGACACTGGCAAAGCAAGAAAGAGTGAAGCAACTTTAAAGAAGTATGACAAGTGTTCTTATAAGTAGGTGAAACCTATTCAAATATTAAGAGCGAAAGAGAATAGGAAATAAAAAGAATATTCATGAATAAAAAACATACAAAGAATGCTTTACATATTCACAAAACCAATGGGTGTTTCCATAATTGCATGTTTCACTATGAATTGATTAGAGAGAATTATATCCCTAATTTCACTTTAATTCAAACATACCACTTTATAAAGAAAGAATGAAAGATCAATGAAAATTTCTTGTTTGGTTTGGTTTATCCTTTTACTTTTACAGTTATTTGTGATGCTCGTCGTTGTGGATTGGATGATTGTCCAGCTCGGGTTGCTGTTTTGCTTCGACCCCTCGTTGGCTTTTTCGGAGTCTTTTTGGGGATTGCTCTCATTTTTGTTTGATTGGTTTTTGCAATAGTTTGAATTAACGGCTCGTAGGTTTTGCTTTAAATGTTGTATTTCTAGTGGGCTGTTAATTTTTAAAGACTTGTAATCTTTGATTTTGTTAACGCGTAGGCCCCGAGAGTGATTTTTATCAAAAAAAAAAAGATCAATTAAAATATAATAATTTTTTAAAAACAACATTAATGAAATAACCTATAAATATAATATATCTTTTGGGGTAGAGGACCCTCACGTAGGGGCTCCCCCTACACCCATGAAGGTCTACCAACAAAGATTTTTATAGCTTGTTTTCTAAATGCAATAAAAATTATGCTTCAAAACTTAACAAAAAACTTCAGCTAAGAATTTTTTCAATATACAGCATATGGTACGATATAATGATGTTATTACTAAGTATGAACTTACCAACACATAAGTATCCTTTTCCGGATCAAACTCATCAGTTATGATTGATCCCCAAGCTCCAAACTGACGGAGAGGAAGTACCTTGAAACCAGGTAGAGAAGCTTGAGTTCTGTCATTGCCAAAAAAAAAAGAAAAGGGTGCCAATCAATATGTAATGTCATATTAGAGCCTGCGCATTGATGTTCTGATCTGAAATATTCAACTAGTATAGAGATATAGACACCTATTAGATAATAGTAATGGACGAGGAAGCCAAGACAGATTTCTGTTCCCACATTTGAGAGAGGATAAAGAAGGAAAGTTGGTACAAAATCATCACAATATTCTGTTTCTCTTTGTTACAAGAGCCTTGGCACAAAAATGTCTTGCTCTAGCCATGAGGGATGAGACCAAGGCTTCGTTTGGGACAACTTTCTTACTGCTTCTTAAAGCAACTTTTTAATACAAAAATTTTAATTTTTGTGTTAAAAAACCACTTTAAGAAGCATTAAAAAAGCCGTCCCAAACAAAGCCCAAGTTTAGTTAGTACTCATTTCACAAAATTGTATTAGATAATAAGTTTGAAAATTTCAAAAAAAAAAAAAGTGCAAAATTAATGATTTAGCATCGTAGGCATCATGTATCACCTCATGCAACACTAAATAAAAATAAAAAGAAAATAATTTAAATAATTATTCATAAATTTTACCCCAAGCTACAGTTGATAATGGTATATCAACTTATAGCTCTGCCGAAGTTAAGATGGTATATTCAATAATGTGTAAGAAGATTGATAAAAAGGGTGGCATACACTTCCTCATGTTCACGAACATCAATCAATTGAGCTTCCTGAAGAAAATTGGGATCTTGCATTTTTGAATGGAGATCTACTGGTTCAATCTCTCCAAGTATAGATTCTTCCCTGCCATGGCGAAATGCACAAAACATATAACAAATTTTAACCAACCGAAATATTATCTAATTGGACCATTGTGGCAGCTGTGACAAACCTCTCGGAAAGCACTTCCAAAAGGTGCCAACCATATTCAGTCTTACATCGCACAACTTTATTTAGAGATGCGCTAAATGCTGCTTTTTCAAACTCTGGCACCTAGTGAGAATTACAGTATTTATTCACAGTTAATCGATAGGTTGTTCTCCAAGAAATGATTCAAGAAACAAATCATCTAAGATTTAGGCTTTGTTTGGGATGGCTTTCTTAATGCTTCTAAAGCAACTTTTCGTATAAAAATTTTTCAAACTAGAAATTTTTATACTAAAAAGCTGCTTTATAAAGCATTAAGAAAGCCACCCCAACCGAAGCCTTAGTAGGAAATCAAAATAGGTACCAAAAGTTCTTAGGAGATCTTCAACCAAAAGAATTATTTTGTAAGAAACATAATCTAAGGATGAATACAATGTTATTTTATTATTCTCATAACTTTGCCAAAATTTGAAGACAATAAAATTACAAATACACAAAAAAATTGAATCATATGGCATGTGCAGGCTATATAACTATAAAGGAAGTTCTACATCAGAGCAGATACCATTGAAGAATTACATAGCCAGTCTGCATTATATTAGCTTTCCCTCAACATTTTAATTGTTTCCAATTGTTTATAGGACAATCATATAGTCATTCATCATGTGCAAACAAGCAAATAGCCCACTTGGGTCTCTGAAAATCAAATTGTTAGACCTGATCCTGGATCGGTCTAGTCGGCCCAACCAAGACCGGTCCAGGTTTACAAATGGCGGAACCAGAGGGGTTAAGCCCCCTCTCTGCCGCCCACTTGATGTGGGGACCACAAGATCAATTAGGAAGAAATTTAGGAGGGATTAGAAGGGAAAAATTCAAATTGTAAGAGCTGTTTCGGGATTTGACCTAATTATTGTATGTTTAAGGGAGTTTTAGAGGCTAAGTTGAGTTTTATCTCTGATTTTGGCTGAAAAATGAGGGTTCTTGTGTTTGTGAGTGGGCTCTAATGGCGTCTAGAGATTTGGGAGAGACGAATCTTCCTCTTCAATAGAAGATCCATTGTAACTTGTTGTTTTTCTTCATTTAATATCAATCAAAAGTCCAATTTTTTGGTTTTTTCTTCCCAGCTATTGCAAATTTCTGTTTTCTCCAATTGCTATAATTAAATTTCAGCAAGGAATATTTCTGATTTTCCACAGGCGTATCCTATCACAAATACTGCACATAATATAATGGCTCTATAAGTGATAACAGTATGCAAAGAATTGCTACTCATTGATTTCGAATTCGTAACTATGCCGACAATTGCCTAATTCTTCACAAAACAAGATTTCAGAGTTTCTCTAGGTCTTCACAAAACCATGAGGTCACTGTATTCTCCAAAACTTTTAAAGGTCTACTTTGTTCACTTGTAGTTCTAACTAAATCAATGGCCAATTTTACAATAAGAGGAGAAGAATTCAAGAAAGGTTTTCCAGCAAGAATGATGAGGAGATGAGTCTATAAATTTCATCATCCTTACTCAATTACAACGTCTAGCAATAATTACTTCAGTAATTCAGAAAAAGAAAACAAAGCATTGAATGAGTATAAACAGTATCCCTAACTGCTATTGATATTGTGGCATTCTGCCACATTAATGAAGTAAAAAGCCTAAAGGGATAGAGGACATTCAACAAAGCTATAATGTGAGGCAGTTGCTATGGCATACCAATTGCCCTCTGCGAACCCAACCAAGCATCCCACCATTTTCTTTTGAAGGGCAGATTGAATATTCCACAGCCAAATCACTTAAATCCTCACCTGAAACAGATAAACGAGATATTAAAACAGCAACAACAACAACAACAACATCAAGCCTTTATCCCACTACGTGGGGTCGGCTACATGAATCCTTTTTCTCCATTGTGTCCTATTAAAAGCCAAATTCTCGTTTAAATCTAATAAAGAAAGGTCATTCCTAATATTTTCTAACCAAGTCTTTTTAGGTCTACCCCTACCTTTCTTAACACAAGTCAAATCTAAGATATTAAAACAGCCATAAAATTAATTTCATCCCCTGTAGAAACTTTAAAAATAGACTATATATGGATAAATAGTTAAATAATAAAGCATACACTATCAACAAATGCAGCACTTCTTCCAATGTAAAAGCAAAATAGATATATAAGGATGCTAATAAAACAAAGTAACAAAGCAATTTGATATTTTAATCATTTTTAGCTGCCAGTAGATTTTTTTAATCCCAATAAGATAACACGGTACTAATGAAATAATTTATTTGGAAAAGAAATTATGAATTCAAGCAAGGGATACATGCAATGGGGGAGTTGGGCAATTAAAAAAGGAACATCTCAGACATACCTCCAGCGATCCGTTGTTGTAGCTCCATCAAAAGTTTCAAATCCTTCTCTCCAACAAGTAAATGATGGACCAGAATCTCCTTATTCCTTCCTAAACTACTACCAGCACTAAACATAACTGCCAATGACAAAATCAAAATAAAAAAATAAAAACAACATAGCATGTGTACTGATAGAAAAAAAAATAAAGATCAAACACATATATTTACATGGCTAGGAAACACATATATTTACATGGCTAGGCCATAATAGAAGCCTATATCCACAAGAGGGGCATTAGGAACTGATCCACCATCAAGAAGCCAAGCATATGTACAAGCATATATGGAAAATGCTATTCTCCAAATGTAAGGACGCTCAATCTCATCATTTAGAGAACAACCGAATCTCTCAACCATAACAAAGAGAAATGCCTCTTAATATATTGTAGAAATAAAAAAATTAGGAAAAAAAGATGATGAGCACGTATGATCAAGATTATACTTAAAAACATCAATTTGAATGCCTCACAACAATCAAGCTTGCCTACGACATTGACCTGCTTACCTATGGAACCGTCGTGCTTATGTAAGCATTATCATGCTTGCATTGTATCAAGACAATTCATCATAGCTTTAAATGAAATTGTGAACATGTTCTTGTACAAGAAGATAATTTTGTGTTAATTCTCAATCTATATTTTGAATTTGGAAGCTATTAATTATTTCTAATTGTTCAATTGAAGATGTCATGATTCGTGCTTAAATGATCTTCATTGCAACAATGAGGCTTAGACAGGCTAATAGTCCTTTTAGCTCGTACACTGCCTAATAGTGTCAAGATTCGTGTCCACTCATTGATAGAGCTTGATGAAGTATTTGTCATTATCACTAATCATGAAGTTCCGATATAAATCTAATCACTGAATTCATGTCATCATCGGCACTAATCTTAGAGCTATCCTTATATCTTCGATCATTTAAAGTAAAATCTCAACCAATACTAATCTTGAGTCCTATAGCCTCCATCAATCCTTCCATTATCACTAGAGTCACGGTGGTCGAAAACAGATATCATGAGCACCATGGCAAAAATTTTCGCCCTTTACACTACTCGGGATCAAAATCTATTCAATCAAGGGACAAAGGGAATATGCATTGGTTCTCCATCTTTAACTGAACAGAGAACACAAATGCCCTCAGTCAAGGTGCATAGTGATCAAATATCTGAGGCCAACTGCATTATTTTTCCACAGTTCGCTATGTAAAGATTTCAAATCTTCATTCAAATGCCTATAAGTACTCGTAAAGAGACAAGGCCTAACTCCTTCAATCATAAGGATATGCTATGTTGAATTGGTTTCAGTCATTCAATCTAGGCTTCATTTGGTGCAGCTTTTTAGCTGCTTTCAAAAACTATTTTTTAGTACAAAATTTTTTTTAAATTAGAGATTTGATACTAGAACATCCGTTTTAGGCTGCAGTAAGAAAGCTATCCCAAACGAAGTCTAAGTCACAAACTTGGGTGTGGAAGGGTCTCACCGGGGACAACATCCTGACTTCACTTGCTCAGCTGACATTGGGCAGGGGAAGATCAGTCTGCGAGCAAACTCTTACAACAATGAATATCGTTTCTGACGTGTTACAATAATAAATACCAGAGAACCTTAATCCACCGTCAATCTCTTAGCTTCTAAAACTCTACTAAAAAAAAGAACCAGCTCCCCTCATTCCAATCAACCATCATAAATACAAATACAAAGAAGACTTGGACATAAAACACACCCAAGGTGATAAATTTAGAAAGAAAATAACGGTATTTTGATATAAAGAACTCACCAACCTTTGCCTTGCGGCCTTCGAGTACTCTCCATTGAAGGCGATCGACCGACGAAGGGGAAACGGAGAGATGTTGAAAATGGATTGTGTAGGATGTTGTGGGAGACGCGTTGGGTAAGGAAGATAGAAGATGGTTTTAAGGAACTGAAAGAAGAGAAAGATATGCAGCCGAGCATTGGGAATCTGAGCCTGGAAACCAAAAACTCGGAGCAAGAAGGAAGATTTTTAGCTCTCAACATTCTCTCTCTCTCTCTCTCTCTCTCTCTCTCTCTCTCTCTCTCTTGGCTTATTTGGGCCTTTTAATAAAAAGATATTATTTAATGATATTCTTACTCAATTTTAGTTAAGATAAATTTTTATATCCATTAATTTTATTTTAAAACAATCGTAATAATTAAATTTTATATTAAATTCATTCAAATATAAATAAATTCAAATAGATATAAAAGGGTATCCCATTTATTCAAATTAAAACTAAATTATTCTAATCTAATTTCTTTTTTTATATAATCAAATTGAATGAGATTTGCACAATTTTATTTAAAAATAAAAAAAATAATTTTAATAAGTACTATAACTCATTCATCAATTGACCAATTAGTAAATGTTATATTTCAAGAATATATAAATATATAAATTATAAATTGGCTCGATGGAATTTGAATTGAAAATTTTTAATTTTAAAATCAAATTAATATAATTTTTCTTTCAAACATTTGCAAAATTAAACTCAACAAAATAATTCATAGTTTCAAATGATTTTTGAGTTTCAAGTACTCCTATTGAATCAATCTCATGTAGTTTTATTTCCAAGTATCAATGAGCCTCAAACTTATTAGATATATTTTATATTATATATAATATATGAATAATTTATCAAAATATAAATATTTTAATTAAAATATCTATACAACATGAAATGAAGAAGTTGGGGGAAAAAATGAAGCAACAAAGAACCTACCCACCTCCAATTCCATGAATTTAATTAGTTTGTTTGAGAGTACATCAAATTTCATATATATTTTAGTTATTAATCAATTTACTCGCATTAAAATTTTTTTATGCAAGTATAAAATTCTTATACTAGTTGTTATTAAAAATAGATATGGAAAGGTGTTTCAAAAGAAAATTCGAAGGAGATGATCAGAAACCTTTTTGTGAGGAAAAAAATACTCAAATTCAATCAGTTTTTGTAGAAACAAATTTAGCTGATATCCATGCCAATCATGCATTGAGAAAAACAATTATGGATTTTCTTCCTAATGAGATGGATAGTGTTCGGAGACATTACTTGTTGAAAGGACCGTGTCAACCGCGTGATCATGAATTCCCACGTACGAAATTTTCTGCAATGAACATTATAAAGAATCATTTACGCAATCGTATGAGGGACTCTTGGATGAATGACTGTTTACTTACTTACATTGAAAATGATATATTTAATAGTATTGACAATAACTTGATTGTACAACGATTTCAAAAAATGAAGACTCTGCGGAAGAAATTATAGATGATAGCTAAGAAGAATCTCAAGATTTATTGTTCTCAATTGTAAGTGGTTTTTTTTTATCATATATTTTATCTTTTTTTATAATGAATCAAATGATTAAAAAAAAATTTAAAATCGCCCAAGCCGGCCCCAAGCCCGGATGAAAAAGGTTGAGGATTTTTTTACTTCAATTATTTGTGCCCCCACTTGAGAAAAATCCTGGCTCCGCCCCTGGGGAAGGGGGGGATTGGGGCTTTTGAGTGGAGGAATTAATGTTTGCTTTGTTTAAAATCCTAAAATATGAAGGAATATTTTAAATCCAATCCTATTAAAAATTCAAATATGCATGATTCAAGGGACTTTTCTAAATAGGGATCCTTATTTAGGAAACAAATTCAAATTCCTCCTCATTTAGGAAATAAATTCAAATTCAAATTTATTTGAATATGAATTAAAATTGTTTCCAAAATTAAAAGGGGTTAAATTAGGAAGGTTTTAGAATATTGAATTTTGAAATTTTGGAGCCAATGGAGGCGTTGGCCGACGGCTTAGGGAAGAGAATAAGGATTAGGGCCAACGACTAGGGAGGGGAAGTAGATTGGGGTTTAGGTGGGTGTAGGGCTGGCGAGTTAGCCTAGGGCCGGCGGTTTGGGGAGGGAGAAGGGTGGTCGGCCATGTGGAGGAGGAGGAGGTGGTGACCGGCAGTTTGGGGTGGAAAGGGGGGAGGCCGGTTGTTTGGAGAGAAGAAAATGATGGAGGAAAGGAAGGGGAAGGGGAAACTGAGAGCCCGGACACTTCCTACGGTTGGTGGGAGTTGCTTTTGCCCTCACTTAGAGACTTCTCCTCTTTCTGGAGCTCTCAACACTCATCAAAACAAGAATGCATAAATTTTCTTTAATCATCATCCTCATACAATCGTTAGAGCCCTCATATATAAGCCTCAAAGCAACAAAAGAAACAAAGACTGAAATGTCCTCTGGGCTATAACACAAACTAATCCCTCACATGGTTACAATGATAAAGATTAAAATATAAACAAAAGTAATACATAAAATGCATCATAAATAAAAACTCCTAATTGTAGCCTTTGATCTACTATTCCTGTGATGATAAACACACCAGAATCTCCTGCTGATGTCCCCATCACTTTGTTTGGAACATATTTTTGACTGTTTTATGAATTTTTTACTAAAAAATTATTTTAAAAATTAACAAGGAAACTGTCTCAAACAAAATCTTAATAATCTTGGTACAAGAAGTTTTGATGTAAATTAGAGATAGAGATGTGATGCTAAATGCTTTATTTTATGCATTGATTGAACTAGAGTATGTTGTTTATCCAAAATTTCATTATAGAAAGTTAAAAGAACTTTTAAGACATAATTGATACATAATGTAAATGTAGATCTCAACAAGATGGATCCAATATACCTAAGATCGCCCAAAAAATTTCTAATGACTAACAGGGAGTTGATTCAAGCCATCCAATAAATTATCATAATTCCTTATAAAAATTACTAAAATACCCCTCCAAAAATCTAAAAATAAACCCTGCTTTCACCATCATCCTTACATGCTTGCAACCAAGGATGCTTGCAACCAACGCCGATGCGCTTCATCATCCATCACTAACACTTTGTCCATTTATCAATATTTGACATCAATCTTTCCGATCGCCCAATCTCCCTCTCATGAAGAGGAGAAATTATTAAGTACGGAGACCGGACGTAGAACGTCGTTCGGAGACCAACCAGTAAGCGCCACGTCAACGTTACCGAGCACATGGGTGATGTGACGCATTCTGGTTCGTCTCCGAATGACGTCCATGGGCGGATCCACCACATGCTTAGGGTGGGCAAATGCCCACCCTCAAAATTTTTTTTTTTTAATATTTAGAGAGAAAATTTTGAAATATTTTAAGTATTTTGGGCATTTTGCCCCCCCTAAAAATTTTTTTTTGTCCTACTTATATCAATACTAAGCATCTTTGCCCATGCCCCAAAAAAAATTTTTTTTTGCCCACCCTAAAAAAAGAAGCTGGATCCGCCCCTGAATTGACGTCCGACATCCGCACAGAATAATTAATCCATGATGAATAGAAAGATGAGTTGGACTGGTAAACATTACAAGGAAATCCATTTCATCTTTAGCATTGATTGATAAATATAGCAGAGATCAACAGAACAATCAACTGAAAAAAAAACGTATAGCAATGACAGAATGCATGGCTGAGAATTGATACAATACTTTATTAAAGTTCCTAATGAAAACAAGCTTACCTTACATAATACAACCAGCATTCTGATGTTTTTAATTCTTACAACTGAAAAGATATTACACATTAAAAGAGAACAAACAATCCTACAATACAATATTACATGCTTACAAGACTGCCCAAATTCAACCTATGATGTGAAAAAAAAAAAACAACATACAGATGAAACCCAGTGACCAACCAAATGGGAAGTAGGAACAATGCTTTGGATACTAGAAGAACCATGGAGCACCTGAATCCATTGAGAAGAATGGAAAACCATAGATGACTCTTACTCGCGAGGACGGGCAAGCCAGAGCGAGCTTAGCGCGCGGAGCCTCGAGAAATAGTCACTTATTGCCAGAAGAGCTCGTGCAGATTGTCGTGTCGTTAGTATTCGATGCATTTGTTGAAGTGTTTGCTGTCGCAGATTGTCGGCCTGAGCACAATCAGCAAAACAATAAGCAGAGTATGCTAACAGGATTATAGGAACTTTGAAAGATTGCTGAGAATGATGGGTATTCACCTGTCGAAGGAAATTTTCCAGTGTGCCAAGCTTTCCCATAGCCATTGCCATCTGTCCCATATAATTCGCGACGTTACCGGAAGAACCAGAAGGGCCAAGAGCTCCGGCCAAAGTTTCAGCCAGAGACTGCTGCAATGCTTCCATACCTTGCGAAAGAGCATCCTCAGCTTGTTGAGAGGATTGCTGCAGGTTGCAAATCCCCATTAATTGCTGCTCAGTTAGAGGCTCCAGATGATTTACCAGTAGCTGTAAAGTTTCATATAGCAACAGCCAAATGAGTTTTGTATGCACAAACTTAATGTGGGGAAGAACCATTAACTGAAAGGCTAACGGCTACTTAATCATGTAAAGCAGGTCAAAGCTTCTTTTTATGAAGAATGTTAATAGATAGAAAGTTTCAAGAAGAGGGAGCACAGGAAAAAAAAAGAAGTTTAGCATAAGGGCATATCTATTGCATGAGGTTACCGTTAATGGGGTATCTTCATGATTCAAAATCGCAACCTCAAAAGTACCTATCCTTCAAAATAATTCTCTTAATATAACAAAGTTCACCATTATTATAGGCTTCATTTGGGACGTCTTTCTTGCTGCTTCTTAAAGCAGCTTTCTGCAGAAAGCTGCTTTAAGAAGCAGCATGAAAGCCGTCCCAAACAAAGCCAGAGTTTCTTCGCAATAAGAATCTTTTAGCAGCCTGTGACAGCAGTTCCATGTTTCGAAAACCCATAAAGCATTTAGGCTTTGCATCCTAGCATAATCATAAGCAACATCAAGATATTTAAAATAAAATTATTCTTAGATTAGTCAAGTAGACTTAAAAAAGGTTGCACAAGAAAAAGTAGACGGCGTTGAACAAATACCAGAAAAGCTCTAAAGCATACACATATATGTGGGCATACATCATACATCGTTTATTTTAGCTTGAATCTGACCAATTTGAGTGAATCATCATTAAGATGGAGTAAATCAGCTCGATTCCAAATAAATTTTTGCAATTATTAAGCAAGATTTGCAGACATAATTATCAGCACTAAGTTCTGATCATGTTTCCTTCGCCGGTTCATAATGGAGTATTTATAGATGCATAAAGGATAGAAATAATTGCATGCCATTAAAATTAAAAAGCGACTTTTGATGTCTTTATTCAAATGCAAATATAACAAACAACTTCATAACCCATTTCTGATAGAGAAATAATAGCTTTTTTTTCCAAATTGTGCAATTATTAAGCAAGATTCGCAGACATAATTATCAGCACTAAGCTCTGATCATGTTTCCTACCACAGCAAATAAAGACTTAAAATAATACTTAATAAGTGCATAAAGGAGAGAAAGATCAAAATGGTCCTTCAACTTTTTGTGAGGGACCAAATTGATCCCTCAACTATTTAAAAATGGGCCTTTTTAGTTCTAACATTAAATTTTGGGATTAATGGTGTTAAATCATGATGTATTTTGGTCATTTTTTAATTAAATTATTTATTAAATATAATTTTCAAGTAATAGTATTTGTTAAAAAAATTATTAATAATTCTAATCTATAATGATCCTAAATTAAAACTAGAATTATTACTATTTTTTTATTAAAGAAATGTTTAATAATTTTTTTAAAAAAATACTATTACCTGAAAATTATATTTAATAAACAATTTAATTAAAAATGATTAAAATATCTCTTGCTTTAACAACATTAACCTCAAATTTTGATTTTATGATAAAAAAGGCCCCTATTTAAGGAGTTGAGGGACCAAATTGGTCCCTCAAATGAGTTCAAGACCATTTTAATCCCTCACAAAGAGTCGAGGGACTATTTTGTTCCTTTTCTCATGCATAAAGGATAGTATTTATTGCGTGCCATTAAAAAAAAAGCGACTTTTGATGTAGTTATTCAAATGCAAATATAACAAACAACATCATAACACATTTATGCTAGAGAAATAATAGCTTTTTTTTTTCCAAATTACTTTAAGTTGGGCATTTCAATGAGAAGCACAAAATTTCAGAAAACAACGAGGACAGAAAATTCACTTATCACCTTAAGAAGCTCAGAGGACCGGAAGCCTCCCAGCCAAAGGAAACACCTCTCTGCAGGTGTCTTCCACATGCCAGATAGCATGTGAAAGACGTCTGCCTTCGCCGCATTGCCCTTCAACCTAAATATTTCTTCGTAATGTGCCATTATCCCATCAACAACAGTACGGAGATCATTATCACTTGCATGAGCATTAACTGCAGCTCTAAGTTCATTCACCAGACGGTTCTGCTCCTCCAGCCATCGAGCATATTCTACATCAAATGCCAATGCCCCTGAAACATAATATAAATCTCTTCAGCGTATGAAGCTTATGTGCAAGCATAATCAAGCACTTTTAATTGGTTAGAAAACTCAATTTCTTAGGAGAGCCAAGAATATTTTGAACAACATTTTCACCTAAGCATTAAAGTTCAACCGGATCATAAGACAAATCCCAGGGATATTAATGCAGGTTCCTTAGGAGAGTAGTTGTAATATTACTCAACATATAATGCTATACATAAACCTTCGTGCCATATTTTTGCTGAATTGTAGCTTAGTTCATCTCTATTTTCTCACTTAATGGGGCTGTTTGGTAGCAGGATTTAGGCCGGATTTGAGGCGGATTTAAGCGAAATCCAGCCAAACGGCCTAAAATGCAAAACCAAATCTCACGGCAAACGAAATCCGCTGTAGACGGAAAATTCAGCTGATTCGCTCTAAATCACGGATTTCCAAAATCGTGTATTTTGCTGGATTTACGAAATCCATTGTGCTAGAGGAAGTCCGCTCGATAAATCTTGCTCTATAACCAAACAACCACGTGAGATTTAAGAGGATTTATCATGAATGTTACCAAATAGTTTTAAGTATTTAAGCCCCTCAGGATTTCCAAAAATTCGGATTTAGAGGATTTATGAAATCCTGCTTAAATCAAAACCGGGGTTCCACCAAACAGCCCCAATATCTTTAGAAAAAAAAATTGTAACATAACGGCAAATAATGATTAGTTGCAAGACCTATAAACCCTGCATAAGACTTAAACATACATTTATCCCGTTCAAAATCCTTGAATTTATCATGCAATTGACCTCTATATTTACCAAATGTATCTCTCTTTAAATATACGTTTCGTATCAGCCTACGATAATATAGAAATATTCCAAAATGATTGAGGAAGCACATTAGTCTGGATTAGGCACGCTCAACTCTTTGGGAATCAAAGAGATTGTTAAGATCAAACCTCCCATTGAATATTACTCACATTGTATTTGTGTAAAAATAAAGCTCCACTGCTTGTTTAAATTACATATTTCTTGACCTTTTCATTGACCTTATTAATATCCTATATTGAGTCGACATAATGGTGCAACCGTAGACTTTGCTGCCAACTGCAAGCAAAAAATTCAAGGTTGGAGTTTGATGGTGCAACTGGAATGATATTTTATAGGTAAATCGTGAAAGGGAAACAAGAATTCACATATTACAAACTAGTAAATTAGCCGAAAACTTGCTTTCTTTAAATGTAAATAAATGAAAATTAAAATTCAAGCAATAATGTAACATCAAATAAATCTGAAAAATTAATAAAATTGAATTTTTTTTTTAAATAAATGAGCAACAGTTATTTAATCACAACATAAAAAGCTTCAATTGTGTCAAAATTGAACAAAATCAAGACTAGTAAGCCAAGAGAAAAATATAGAGGAAAAACATATAACAAGTAAAAAAAAAAAGAATACAACAAAGTAAAAAATCCAAGTCTCATGCATACATGGAGATTATTTCCTCTGAAATAAGTTGTGACAGTTATACCGCACTCAAGGAAACTACACATTCAAATTGAATGATAACTCGCTTAGTAGGCATCCTTGAATAAAAGGAATGACCATGATAATGAAGATAAATTTTAATTTATAATGTGATAGTAACCTATGGATATCTTTTGTTATTATTTCAGAAGAGAAAAAGGCATACCGAATGCATGATGCTCTCAGTAGTAAGTTAAGGGAGGGGTTAATATATGCATCCTTAGCTTCAACATCTGCAGATGGGTTGTTTTGGATCCTAGGATTAAATTACAAGTATAAAATTTTCTTTCAACTCCATCGGCAACAAAGGTGAATCAAGGAGTATGAAATTGCTCTTTCACTTTAAGAAATAAGTTGCGTGTCCATGAAAAAAGAAAGTACAAAGCATAGATTAGGACTTTCTTTTTATAAAACTCATAGAGTGGCCTCCGCGCTAAACACAAGAAAATTAAAAGCCTTTAAAAACCTTCAGCTCTCAAAAAGTACAGCCATAAAAAAAAAAACATATGAGCCAAAAGCATAGATTAGGATTTATTATTCTATTCATTGAGTTTAATTTGGGCTTCGTGTACTTGAATGATTGTGCGCCATTGTGAATGAGAGTCCAACCTTTAATAGCTTGCATTAGTGGAAATCAAACAAACTAAAATATCAAATTTTGTTGAGGATGGCTTGTGATATACTATTTAGCACTACTGCGGATAAATCTTTGAAGGCCACATTTTCTAGCAGAGGAAATCAGGATTGATCAATGAAATTCATCAAATACAAAAGCAGAATGGAGATCAATAAGGTTAAGTAAGAAAGCTGAAATATAAGGCTAAAGGATGGTGGCATGGTGGCATACAGGGAATCTGACCAAAAAGGACCACAACATCAATCTCCTCACTCTCATGTTCATTCACCCAAGGACATGACTTAAAACTCATAGTTAATCTGACTCAATCTACTTTAAAGCAAGACCCAGATTAAGGTCAGTTTATAAGACTAAGGATTCATTTGGGGCGGCTTTCTTACTACTTCTGAATGCAGTTTTCTAGTATAAATTTTTTATTCTTTGAGCTAAAAAGTTGTTTTAAGAAGCAGTAAGAAAACCGTCCCAAACGAAGCCTAAGCTTTATATGCGCATATGTAAAAATTCTCTATGTAATATAGGAAGCAACTCTCTATGGACAACCTGTGAGTAGCATGCCATTCAAAACGAATATTTAGCCATATGAGAGAATTCTTCAACCAAATCCTAAAGAAAGCTTAAACGAACAGTGAGATCCATACACAAACACTTGCCAAAATAATCATGAGGATGTAAAAAGAGTTACCATTTCCACCCGTAGAATGTGATTGATCTCCTGTGCTTGAAATAAAGATTCCCTAAAAAAACATTCAACAATTAAGAAATTAATTCGATATCATCATCATACTAAAATATAATAAGTTTGAAGTTGGAGGGCTGGAGCTGAAACTGCTAAATACCTGTTGGCGCGCCCGCTGGAGCTCCTGCTCAAGTTGAGTGAGCTTCAACCTGCTGTTTTCAAGTTGTTGAACATAAGCCTGATAAATAAATGAAAACATGGTTCAGCAACTCAAACAAAAATATTATGCCAAAAAGGCAACTGAAAATAAAAAGAAAGTTATGATGGTAGGCAAATAAGATACTTCAAAGAAAAAGTTTACACATGAATTAATCAGTCAACATAGTTTACATGTCTAGATTTGAAACCTGCTGCACTACTTAGTTGATAAAATATATTATAACATTTTAAACTTACAGCAAGTGATAAAAAAGAACCCAACTATTTAAGGGCCATCTCTATGAATTAACTTTTTACATTGATTTCCGTTGGGAAATCAGTGAGATTTTGCATAAACACTAGATGAATCACCTATAGGCAAACCCTTTTCCTTCTTATCCATCTAAATTAAGGCCATTTACCCCTCTTATTGGAACATATTATACCCTCAACAGCATTTAAACATGCCAACTAAGTCTAAATTTTACTGCTGATCTTCAGGGCTCTAGTGGCGTCTAGAGATTTGGGAGAGATAGATCCTCCTCTCGAATAGAGGATCAATTGTATCTTGTTATTGCCTGTTTCCCTTTTATCAAATAATGCATATTATCTACTGTTTTCGTGGTTTGGTGTGGATTTTTGTGGAGAATTCTCGCTGTTTTCCGAAGATTGACAAGAAATACTTGAGATCAACAAGTGTTTCCTATCAAACATCTATCCTCCGTTGTGTGTAGTCTAAACCAAGTCTACTTTGATTACATTATAATCAATAAGGCTGCTCCTATCATCTCTTTAATATGATAATTTCACACTCCATTTTTATCTTTATCACATATTGATCGTAATATTTTTATTTTTATTTTGCTCAACTTGACTATCAATAACTTCTTTATTGACTAAACTCTATATTCCCTGTAACATAGTTAATCGAGTTGTAATTTAGAATCCAAACTTAAATATTCTTGATATTTTATGATCTAAAGATATTCTTAAGAGTAATTTTAACCACATTTCTAACTCCAAAATTTATACAATCATCAACAAGCTAATTCATTTGTATAATTATAGATGTTTAACCTTATCACAGAAAAGTATCAAACAATTTCCCAACACTATGGACACAAAGTAAATGATTTCCAAACAACTCAATTTGTACAACAAGTAGGTAAAGTTTGTTTTGTAAAGAATAAGCCCATCATCTACTAAAAGTCTCCTCCATTATCATAAACTTCAACTTATTTACATAGATGCCTCAAAGATCAACACATTGTCATTTGCAGATAGCAAACACCATTTTGAACCTTAATATAAATTGTAGCTAAAAACTCCTTAATAACTCTACAATACTTTACTATGAATCAAAGATCCATCAAGTATGTCTTAAGAATTTCAATAGGCATGCATTTTTTCAACTTAATTTCCACCAAATGATTTATAATGGTGTTTAATGACATGCCTTGCGAAGATAGATAAAGATACTGAAGATTCTTCCTTGCTCCCTAATCTTCACTATTCATTCCCTTAACACAATATCTTATGGTAAATTTTCCTAGCAAAAACATAATTTGATTCTTTGACATCAATGTGGATTTCCAAAGCTCATCTTCCTATATCCTCTCCTGTAACATTTTTATGACTGCTTATGTCTGACTCCTCTATCATTATCACAGTTATGGTACCTTCTTGATCTTAAATAATGGTACCATTTTTTTTTTTTCAATCTTTTTGAGATCCACCTTTAAAATTTTCCAACAAAAATTTGAAATTTCCTACGAGTAAGTCCCTATAGTTAACTACAGCTCCTAATTGAGAGAGCACCTTGACTAAGAAATATCTTAGCTCTAGACCTCAAAGAACTCTATGATGAAGGCATAAGAGCTTCGAAAGCATAGGACACGGGTGGTGAAGATGAATTACAAACTCCATCAATATCTGATGATTTCATCATCTAAGATTTTATCAGGTGATGCCAATCCAAAAAAGAGTCCAGAAGTCTCAGATGTGATACTATTAGCTTTTAAGTTTAAGGGGGCTTTGAATGCAACTATGAGCAGCAGAACAGGGAGCTTTCTATGAGCATTAAAACTAAGCTATTAAGTTTGCAGTGATTTTTGAGTTTTTAATTCAACGAACCTATGGAATGATTCTTGTGTGCCTCATTAATCATAGGTTATCTTATCTAACACGATTACTTGTAGATTGGGTGGGCATTCACATTATAATTACAAGAATGAGGACTGAAAAAATATCATCCTTTGAGATGAAATATGTCAATTAGGCCTAAGATCAATTCCCCTTAGGGTACAATGATGTATATGAACATATTTCAATGTAGTTGACCTTCTGCTTTTTTTTCAAGTCACCTTTATAGTGAAAATTGACGTAAATTGCATATCACCTGTTAGGGTGGTTGTCAGAGCTAATCCAATTACATCCTTAAAATGATAAACTATTGTTTATTAGGTGATAGCTGCTGAGAGGGAAGGTGGCGTTTTTGCTAGGCATCCTCTTAGATAAGCCATAAAGCATTTTAGAGTGGATTTAGAGTAAATGTTGGTGATTAAGCCTTCTCGCTTTGAATTTATGAAATTCTTGATAACTTCACAAGTTTATACATATAAACAACTTTTGGAGGCTTCCAAGAAGAAAATATTGATTTTCAAGACTTCCCACTAACACCTAAAAAGGACATTAGCAAAGAGGAATATTTTCCTAATCATTATAATTTGCAATAATACTAGCGCAGTTTTAGAGGTAGCTTGAAATACCATAGTACAAGACAAATGAGTCACTTGGACTACTTAAGGCTTAAATAATATCTTCGAGGGGTCTTTTCTCCTTCTTCTTTTTTTTCTATACAATTTTCTCTTATTTCAGTAAAGTTTTTTTAAAAAAACATGAATTATTTAAGACTTTTTAATACTTAAACAATGAAAATTTTTTCTATACAATTTTCCTGATATTTTAAAACCTTTTGGGTTTTTATTCTTGCATTTAACTTTCACAATTACCTATTGAAGATCAACACTCACATCAACCTTTGCATGAAATCTTCCCACAATCTAAAGATTCTAATTTAGTGACAACTGTGCACTATGGCATGGTTCTTATTCTTTCACCAAATCCCCTATCATGCCCTATCCTCTCACCAAAGTTCCTCTCCTCACACTAATTGCCATTGTTAGAGAACTTCCAACTAATGGAGATTCAGATTCAGGACATGAGATGAGATAAAATTGAGGTTCATCTAATTGAATACACAAAGTGGGATCAAGCACTAGGTCTTGTAGCGAAATAAAAATAGTCGAATTGCACACATAAGAACAATGTTACACACGTAACAGATGAGGATAACAATAGCAACATCAATGGCTTAAAAGTTTATAAGTGTGATGGGTCAATCAACCTCAAACTTTAGAAGTTTATGTCCTAAATGTGATAGACGTACCATATTGACCAACAATATCATTTAGCGACAGAACCTTCAAGAGAAAATTTTCATGAAAAATATTAATCAAATTTGTACAAACAAGGATGTCACCAATGTAAAAAGAAGTGGCATCATAAACTACATAAAATATATCTTAGATTCATAAGTATCAACAGCTTAGTTCACCAAAGTGAAACTTAGTAACACAACATTTGCAATAAAGAAAACAAAAACACCCATCAATGAAGAGACTTTTGTTACCTTTTTCCTTAAACGACTTTTCCTAGCAGCTTCACGATTTTGAGCAAGCCGTCTCAGAGTCTTAAGAAAAACCAATTACAAGAAATCAGTTGTGGCTAGGAAGTGACAAAATATAAGTCAACCAACTGACGGAACGTGCTATTTATTTTTTCCTTACTTTTTGATCTCCAACTTTTTCTTTGGACCTGTCACTGGAATCAGAGGCTGCCACCGTTGCTGCTTGTCCTTTATCAAACTGCTTATTATCATCAACAATAATTAGCCATCAACAAAAAACAAGTTTAAGGCTTCGTTTGGGATAGATTTCTTTCTGCTTTTTAAAGCAGCTTCCTAGTACAAAAAATTTAGGAAGCTGCTTTAAGAAGCAACAAGAAAGCCATCCCAAACGAAACCTAAATCCTCTCGCACAAACTAAAGCATCCATCAAGATCAACTATCATAACATTACAGTTTTTTCTTACTATTCAGAGATAATCATGCATCCATAAATCAGAATTACAAATTACTCATAAACTGCAAAATATGAGAGCAAGATGATATTCAAATGGAAATGCAGCAAAATCATGAAAATACAAAATGAACACATTGAAAGATCCACCTTAAAAATTAGCCTATCCATCATGAAACTCAGATTAAAACCTAAGCGGGATAAAAAAAAGGCAATAATAAGAAAAAGCAAACACACTGCCAAACAACAATAAACAATAAAATGGCATAAAAGAGTTGGGCTACAAAAAAAAACAGCAAATTATGAAGGGTGCACTTTGAGTTCATAATATGATATTGCACCATACAATAATCAGCATCAAAGAATTAACTGTGTCAAAAAATTAATGCCAACCAACGTACCACTTCACAATCTAGGATATGAATTTTCATTTGTCAAGCATCTTTCACTATCATAAAATGAAGGTCTACAGCTGTTTTTTTAATGCTTAAACCAGAAGTAGCAAACTCCCATTTTAATTCTGGTAAATATTGCTCAATATTGTTTTATGCTTGGAATGACAAGAGTTGCATTGGATTAGAAGAAGCATTACATTAGATCTTGGTACCTTGAAATATTCATTGAAGAATTGAATGAATGAGAAAGAGCATGAGAAGAACTAAAGTTCATGCATGAAGAACTCCCTCCCTTGTCGTATTTTGCAACTAGAGGTGCTTTCGCATTACAGTTACATATTCTGATGGCCATGAAATTAGCTATCAAGAAGTTTGGTGGCTTAAAGAGTTTTAGTCATTAGAGAATCAAGATGAATATACTTATTCAAAACATACTTATGAAGACATTAGTGGGGCATTCAAATATATCTATGATAATGAATAAAGAATACAACATAGAGATAGATAAAAAATATCTTAAGGTAAACCATTTATGTTTAGCACAAGTCTTGGAGGAAACAACTACGACAAGTTATGCTCAAGTTGGAGCATTGTGTTTCGGGTAAGTAGAAAGCGCTAGCTTCCTGGCTGCAGAAAATTTCCAGAATAATATGAGGCACAAGTTGATGAAAGTACTTATATAAGTTGTTCAAACAAGTCAATGCCAATGTCAGTAAATGAAAAGAAAGCTACTTATAGTGAAGAAACAACTGCTTTGGAAGAACAATCACTCAATGATAGATGCACTTTTAGTTTCAATGGATCGATTCTAACATGCAACAAACAATTTTACTACGAAGGCCACTCACAAGTGTTCAATGCATATGCCATCGAAGTATATTGAGAATGGATGAAGCACAGCCCCGGGAGCTTAAGAAGTTTAAGAAGCTTATATGATAGAGCTCAATTTGGAGAGCAGTTATAGAAGATACGCAGTTTACAAGCACAATATTAAATTAAGAGTGATAATTGTTAAATTTGGCTTAAAATAGTTTAATATTTGGCGCAACACATGTTTCTCGAGATTAGAAAAACATTGCACATGATCTTGACACCTTGGCATATTCTTTGTTTATAGATTTTTTGGATTGTGTGCAATTATGCGGATGGGATTTCCTTCGGATTCATGTGAGTAGGGAAATGGTCCTATTTGTCTCAATTATAGTCCTCAGGTTTGCATACCAGATCCCGTCTTATTAGGCTTGTGTTGACCACGAGCCTCATGTGATATTCCTACTTTTGGGTGTCAACATGAGGAGATCTCTCAAGTAGGGTAAAGACAATTACAAAAAACACTCTCATGTAGAGTTTTGTTAGCAACATTATAAAATAATTACGATTTCTTAGCTGAAGGAAGCTCTCTCTCTTGCCCTATCTTTGTTAGATTTCTTAGCTGAAGGAAGCTCTCTCTCTTGCCCTATCTTTGTTAGGATTTTTTAGCTTGATAAATACATGGAGCTTGGAGGATTAAAACATGGGCAGGTGATGCTATGGCCGATATTGTCATCTTGGAAGCAGGTATCAAACTGTATGTGAGAATTTCTTTAGAATTTTCTTTTATTGAGAGTGGACGTGCTCAAGTTTTGGGAATTGCATTTGAATGTCCTTTCAGTGTAGATCACTTTATGGCTTCTATGTTTTAGAGAGTCGAATCCTCTTCTCTCTTTTGTTCAAGAGGTACCACATAAATTTTAGTCTTCTCTGTGTATTGCTTAATAACTCTGTTTGTCTTACTTTGTGGCTCATCTTATCTCATTCCTAAAGATACTTTCACATTTGAGTTAGATATGTTCGATTCAAACAAACTCCATAAAGGGAGAGATCATCGGACGCATCTCTATCACAATATTAACCACTTAACCCTAAGAAGCATAGAAACAATGATCCCAAGGGAATCAAGATATAAAGCAATTCCATTGTAATAATAAGAAAATATCAATTTTATTGCTTGTCTCAGCATGATAAATGACAGCACTGTGAAGGAGTAAAGTGAAGAAAAATCTAGTACAAAACATTCATTTGGGATGGCTTTCTTAATGCTTTTAAAAACAGTTTTTTAGTATAAAAATTTTAATTTTTCTATAAAAAGCTGTTTTAAGAAACAATAACAAAGTCGTCCCAAACAAAGCCTAAATTAGAGACATCTTTTAATGCAACTTTTCAATTTGGAATGAAACAGGTTTAGTTTTAAGCATTAGTCAGAGTAAATATTAACGTAAAAGAGAAGAAATTTATTGTTGTATTACAGTTTAAAAAAAGTGATAGATAAGTAAAATATTACCCTTTGATTCCTGTCATCCATGTCCTCATCTGTCGAGCTATCACTCCTAGGACTGTTATCTGCCATATTAGACTCTCCCCAGTTCTCGAACTGACCAATAGACGGTTGGGCCAAATTAGTTGGCTGTGCCTTCTGCTGTGGAAAACTCACGTGACTAACTCTAGCAACTGGAGTTACATCAGCCGATGTATGTGTCTACATTTTAAGAAACAGCATTAAGATAAATGTTCTCACGTGAGGATATTATAAGGTGTGACTTAATAAGAACTGCAGTGGAGGTGCAAGAAGATAAATCCAACTTACTTTGCTGAAAGAACCAAACTGAAGAGAGTCGGAAATAAAATTTCCACTTGATTTTGTGTTCAATAAATGTTCTGATAAAAACAAAAAAGCATCATCAGAGAACCGACCTAAAAAAAAGAAAAAAAAAATTGCTCTTAAAATCTAATGAAGAAAAAAGGTCATAAAGAGATCAAAACAATCAGCAAAAGCCAAATTGTCAATTATAAAAATACATTCCAATAGAACTTTGAAAAGAACCATAGCAACAACGTTGGCAACGAGTTGAGCTCATGAAATCTGAGCATGGCTTGAGCCCAAAATGTTTGAGTTTATGCCAGCCCGAAATCAACTTGAAACTGATTTTGCTGTGGGTGAGGAGTAAACGCCACCATGACAAAACAAGCAAGAAAGTAAAAGCATCAAAAAGTAAAGGAAACCGGGATTTAGCATGAAAAAACTCAAATTAGGGAAAAAAAAACCACGAAGCCACACAACACCAAGAAATCTACTATGAAAATTGAAAGAAATAAGAACAGATCTCTCTTCTTTCTCGCTCATTCCTTGCTTCTCTTCTCCCATGCACCATTCTCAATTGTCTTACATGTAGGAAATACAAGAGAAAGCAAATTATATCCACCAAGAGACACAACCCTTCAGAATACGAGATAGAAAACTGTCCAGTCCATCTCGCACCCTGTGGCGCCAGTTTGGGACACTGCGATGCTCAAGCCTCTATCTGATGACGTTGCAATGCTCAAACTCCAAGCGTTGTGGCGTCGAAATTGCAACGCTGCTGCTACGAATTCAGAGCGTTGTAGCGCTCTACTCTTTTTCAATCAGGGTCGGGGCGCTCTGGAACACAGCGTCGGGACATTGTACGGAAAAAATTTTCATGTGCGAAGCACCCGAACCCAAGCAGAGGGTAAATCCCCGCACACCCCAGCAAGCACGAAAAAAGGTATGAGGCATCAAAACAACCCGATTGATCAACACAACCAGATTCCACATATAACATATTTAAGTTGAGCCACCAAAATTCAAACTAAATTTATTCCAAGACAACACAAATTATACAAAGTTTGCTAAAAACTACCTCACATTATTTAAATTCCAATTAAGCTACAATTAAAGGCAAAACAAAGATATTTGAAATCATCCAAAGCATAACAAACATGACTGTATTTGATTATTATAAAAAATATGAAATGAAGCAAAACAAATCCTCAAAAACAACATATTTTTTTCCAATAAAAAGAATATCATGCATATGTGCATATGATACAAATAGACAACTCAAACTTCAAGCAAGCTACACTAAGCTCAAAATCACCCTTTTTTTTTTCCAAGACAAGAACCTTTGCTTGTAACGACTTAAAATGACTCAAGTTCATAGGGACCCAAATTTGAGGTAGTTAAAAGAGGTTATGAATTTTGACTGATACTGTCACCCCTAGATAGCGATAAAAATTGACTCAAAACTTGAGTTACAAGCTAAATCTTGAATTTCAACAAACATTGCAACCCCTACATGGCAAGAAGCAATAAATATAATGAGTTAAAAAATAATAATTATTAACATCACCCAAATAATAACAAAATTAATTATATAAAATTAACAATTGAATTAAATAATAAAAAACAAATTACATACTTCTGCTAAGGTCAGCACCATCATTTACACCAAATCCAGTTGCCTGGTCAAATGCCCCAAATGCTGACACTCTCGATGCATGCATGTTATTTCCCTCAGCACCACTACAAGATTTAGGAGAACAGGAATAACATAAAAGCCTCAGAAAAAGAATCTGTTAGTTCAAGTATATGAGGAAAAATAATAATATAAACAGGACCCGAACTGAAACATTAGCAATTAAAAAAAGTTAAAGACTATAAATGCTAACCACGCACTCGGGCAATTGAAACAAGTTTCCTTAATATCAACTCAAATATGAGCTCACTTCATTATATCCAAGAATAAGGTTGATTCAGGTCAACAAGAAATTTTCATAAAATTTTACAAATATTTGTTTAAAAGTTAAGTTTGACCATCTAAATGTGTTATAACAAAACTGGCATGTGTGATGATTAATTGTCTTTTTGTGGCATCGTAGCGAAATAACACAAATATGAAAAACCAACTTTGATGTTTTTGGTGACATGAAAATACAATAAAGATGCATGATCATCACACAATGTAAAAAATTGCCGCATCCATTGCAGCAAATTAGTTACTGTTAGACACACCAGATGGTTATGAATTGAGATGTTTAAGGTATTGTGGTAGTTATGTAAAGAAAGCTTTTGAAAAGTCATGAGACAGACCTCCTCTTGGTCTTCAGTAAGATATTAAAGGAAGCTACGAGCCATTCATTATGATCGTAATACTACATCAAATCACCCATAATAATGAGAGAAAGCCCAATGATGATGCGTGTGCCTGCCATGTTTGCAGTTTTATGCTTATTAAGAAATCTGAAATCTCTTTAAATTTCTCAAATGGGCCGTTTGAGACACCTTTTGAGATAAATTTTTCTACCATGTCAATTTACCTTCATAAATCAGGTTCATGTATGTTTATGTTTCAATCATGTTTGTTGTAGAAGTCAATAATGACAGTGTTTCACATAATTGGTAATATGCAGCTTTCAATCATTCATCAATAAAAGAGTGTTTCACACAATTCTGCATGGTAACATTTTCAGGGGTTGTTTGGCACTATTGTCTTATGTTGTTTTATGTTGTGCTATCAGGTGTTATGTTGTATTGTCAAGTAAAGTAGGTGATTTGGTAAAATCATGTTAAAATTCCTATCTGACTAGTTGTAAAAGTAGTTGTTGTTTGGTGACAAACTACTGCATAATTGAAATAAATAAAATATGAATTCTATAGAATTATAATATAATATGCTAATCATGAGTCTTAAGCAAAGAAAATAAATAACAAATAAAGTGAAGAGATAGAAGAGCTAAAAATCTTTTTTTTTTAACCTTTTCTAGGAAGCTATCCAATTGTTGTTCAAAAAGCAACATTTAATCTTTCATGCAACTGGACGTTTTCTCACAGCACAACAACAACAACAACAAGCCTGTCCCACTACGTGGGGTCGGCTACATGAATCCTTTTTCTCCATTGTGTTATATTAAAAGACCCCACGTAGTGGGATAAAGGCTTGATGTTGTTGTTGTTGTCGTCGTCGTCGTCGTCGTCATATTAAAAGACAAATTCTCGTTTAAATCTAATAAAGAAAGATCATTTCTAATATTTTCTAACCAAGTCTTTTTAGGTCCACATCTACCTTTTTTAACATAGGTCAAATATAATACCTCTACTTTCCTAATTGGGTCATCAGAATGCCACCATTTTATGTGACCAAACCATCTAAGGTGACTCACAGCAAATGAATTAAATTAAATTATGTTTTTCAAGGAAGCAAAAATAGGTAGCATAAAGCTTATAGAAATGGAGCCAAACATTAATCTACAACTACATGAAAATAATTTCAGAGCACTAAATTCGTATTCATAACTCTTTCTTATTGTCCATCTTTTACACTGTGTAAAACTATTTAGAATCATGATTCATTTGGAAATTTCAAGACGCCTTTCTAAGGACTACTTTATCATCATGATGCTCATATTTCTTGAATATAAGTACTAGTTGACACCATTAATGTACATAATCATCACAATCAAAAGGTACTGCATAGATAGTTAGGCTGAAATCTGAAATATTTCTACTTTTTCAACCAATTTCATCCACAGTAGCATAAACCTTTTAAGCAAATACCATAGCTAGAAAGTCAACAATACTTTCAGATGCATCTCTGCTAAATTATGCCATTAACAAACCTTCCATAGCTTTACATAAAAATGTCTAATACAGTTATGATCATGTAATCTGATTACTGTTAGCAGTATAATTGGGAATGATATAAATACATATTTTACACAAAAGTTACCCTCCAATGTCTCCCACCAGAAACTTTCTATGGGAGCATATTCTTCAAAGAAATGTATCATCTACAAATACAATTTTAAGAAACTTACATAGGAAGAAGAATAAAGCAAAAAAAGTATAACCTAATGAACAAATCATAATATAACTCTGTACATAAGCATTTATGATCAAACCATATTCTGAGATCCAAACATGGATGCATTTCCAACAATGCCAGTGCCATTCTTTCATCACAAGCTAATTAAACATGACAACCCTCAATCAAATATTTCTGAAACCAGCTGTAAATAGAAATTTTAAAAAGAAAAAAAATTATTAAGTCGCTCATACAAGCTACTAATCTTATAGTTGCTAGTACCACCCAAAAAAAAGGGAAATTTACATACATACCACTTTATAACATCCTATTTACATATCTAACACCTAAAACTTTAATATTACATCCATACCACCCTATATTATTTTAATATCAAATATACCACTTATATTTCTTTCCTACCACTCATATATTTCATTTCTACCACTCATATTTTGTATGAAAATGAACTATGGGTGGTATTTATGTAATATTAAAGTTTTAGGTGTTAAATATGTAAATAGAATAGTATTAAGTGATATGTATGTAAAACACCAAAAAAAAAAAAAGAAACAGAAATAGCAAATAGAACAAAACATGCTCATTCCACATACTTCATTTGGACAAAAAACCAGGATAATCATCAAACAAAGGTAACATGTCATACCAAGGGGTAAAAAAATTGTAAGTTTGACATATTTTAATTAAATACTAAATGAAAATCAAAAAAGGAAAAGAAAAATTACACTGCATGAGCCGCGGAAGCTGAAGGAAGGAAAGTGTAGCAGTTCTTAGAGAAGAGCTACAGCTGCTTTTAGGGCTGCAAGCGAACCAAACGTTCGACGAACTACTCGTTGTTCGGTTCGATTAAAGCTCGTTCGTGATCGTTTAATTAACTAACAAACAAACTTGAACAATATTTTAAATACTCGATTCTTAAATAAACAAGCTTGAACACTAATGTGTTCAGCTCGTATGTGTTCGCGAACAACATCAGTTGATGTTCATGAACAAGCTCGATAAAAAGCTCGATTCGAGTTCGATTAAATATAAAAACTTTAATTATACCATAATATAATATAATTATTTTTTATTAATAAATTTTAAAGTAATAAAATATTATAACATATGTTCATAGAAATTAATCATATTTTCATTTTAAATATACAACTGTTTTTATTTTAGAAATTTCATTTCATGAACAAGAAATATTTCATATTTGTCCATGTTTGTTAGATTGTTTGTTTAGAATGTTCATGAACAAATTTAATATTTGCTTGTTCAATATATTGTTTGAGAGATATGTTCATGAACATAGCTCGTTTAAAGCTCGATAAGCACTAAACAAACGAACATGAACCAAACATGAACCAAACACGAACACCCTTAAATTAAACGAACCAAACATGAACACAAATAATAAAGCTCGAATCAAACACGAACCAAACATGAACAAGCTAATGTTAAACAAACACAAACATGAACACTCACATACTCGGCTCGGCTCGGTTCGTTTGCAGCCCTACCCAATAACAAGACCAAATCTTGATATTATTTTAGAGATGATAACGGTTGTTAGTGGTATTAGCTGGTGATCGTTGGCAGCGGCGATAGCTAGAAAATACTAGAGAACTCACACTTTTTCTCTCCTCTTTTTTTCTTCCTCTCATGTGATGAATGAGGACTTACTTATATGTTTTGAGAGTGACATGTTCATAAATATGGAGAAAATATAGGATAAATTATAAGTGCTCCATCCAACGGTTTATATTGATTCCTTTGATCTTAAAGCTTGCATCAAACATTTAAGTGGCTAATTAATGTCATAATTAAATGACATTGGGCCCGTTGGATTCTTCTCGTCGAGCTGATCGATTTTAAGAATATGTTGTGAATGTATTATGATTTAAGTAGAAGAATAAACTATCTCCTATCTCATATTTTAAGAATATGAAGTTTGTAATGCTTTTTTTTCATAGGTTTGTTGGTTAACCATTTTTTTATATATTTCTTTTTAATTGGCATATTTTAACATTTAATATGTTTATACTTTTATAATAAAAATGATCAAATAATCTACTTAAAGCACAAAAATTATTTTTCAAACATGAACTTACTCTATTAGCTTGAAATTGAGATATATATTATTTAAATTGTGCTTTGATAAACTTAATTTATTAGTTATTAAGATAAACAAAATATAATTTCAACTTTACCCTGATCAAATGCAATTTAGATTGTAGTAATGCCTTCTACTCGTTTCTAATTTGATAAGAATTATAATTGCCTTCTCTCACATCTCACTGGCTTCTTTCTCGTCTTTCCAATAGTATATAACATCATAAACGACCTAAAAACTTTGACTCTATTTCTCAAATATTTAAGACATCTCCAACCGAAAAACTCATTTTACACTCCAAAATGTACTAATTAATTTTCAATCGAACTTTATTTCTTTCACCTCTTTCGCGAGCTTCTTCATTTCGCTGCAAAGGTAACCATCTTTCCTCCTCTTTCGCGACTTCTTTGGCAAACTCCGTAACACAAAAAAGTGTCATAGGTGGTGTCGCACTGCTCACCTACCGAACTTTGGTGTATGATTTAGCATTCAAATGGAACGAATAACTAATACAATTTTGTTGAAGATGGCCTCATACGCATCTATGATCTCCTTTTATTCTTCTCTAGTGGTCATTTATCGCCTTAGCTATATTTTGATGCTCTTTATCAATATTTTTCATCAATACTCTCTACTAATACTTTCGTTGGCCAAAATGTAGACTCATGGTAAAAAAGAAACAGAACTAAAGTATGAAGCAGATGAAATAAGCCTCATGATCAATAGTTTAAGATATCAATGAACTTTTTTTCTTTTTTTTTTTCTTGAATATTTCTCCAATGGTAAAATATGATCAGTAGCGTAGCTCCGACGAGAGTCTCGCATTACACTAATTGACTCCTTATGGCTATAATTATTTCTCTTTTCTATCTTTACAGCACATCGGGGTGCTGCAATTTCCAGTACTATGTACCTGCCTTGGGGTCTCAGCTCTTTGGTTATGGCTCCTATAGGCTTAATGTGCCACGTTATCCTAAAAATGTACCGGGCTCAGTATCAAGCTCGGTACCGCTCGGTACCGAGTGCGCAATCGGACGGGAGAACCATCCGGTGTCACAGAATAATTGCTCTCGTTTGAGACGATTTTATTATTGATTCTTGAAGCAACTTTATAGTAGAAAAATTTAACAGAAATAAAGCCATCCCAAACAAAGCCGGTCTCATTTACCTTTGCTATTGGTTATTGCTACCGTATTGTAGAAGAAAGCACTGACAATCATAAAAGGCCAATGTCGATTATCCACAAACAAATCTGTTATGGTGGAATTTTGCTCCGTATGGTCATCAACAAAGAATTCCACCTGCTCCTGTTAGAAACAACATAGGCTGCATTACTAACCTGCAGTGTCAGTTGATGAAAAATCAATTGTTTATTAGATCAAAGAAATTTTTAATTGAGAGCTGTTTCGATCTCTAAGCCTTCGAGCATGAGTGGAGACAAAAGCTCATCAGCATTGTATGGTTGCATGGTGAAATTTGAGAATGTTGGGATCTTGAGGAGGAAGAAATGTCCTTCTTGATTATAGTGGGAGAGTGGGAGAGGGGAGAGCTCACAGCACTTGGAAGAAAAGAGAGAGAAATTGAACTTCAATATTATTGCTTGGCTTGGAGAGAGGGTGATATTTTATTACGGATTTTATGTAAATATAAAGACACAAATGGCAACATCAAAGCTACAAAAGAACCCAAAGAAAGTACACATACATAAAACTAATAGAAAACAAAAAAAATAGAATTAAGTTGGATCACAAAAAAACCTCTAATAATCTCCATCTTAATCCAACTTCCTTCCAATTGACCCTTATAGAACCTCTGAATCAATCCATTCATCTCCTGAATTTGTAGTTATTGCCAAGTTAGAGTCTTCTTTGATTCCGGTCTTTGCCATTTCTCTCTAATCGAGTAATTTCTCTAGAAATTCCCTTCTTATGGCACAGATAGCACTCTTTGTTGGCTCTCTCTTTTCTAACTTCAGATCTGCCCCTAACCGATAACATGTCACTATTCTTTTCCTCCTTAATCTCTAATTTCAGTTGAATCTCCTTTGACATCAATACTAACTTTACCTCCGTCATCGTCAATTTTTGCTTCCCATACAACATTGTATCAATGATGTTTTCATAAGCTCTCGGCAACGAGCTAAGCAAGAAGAAGCCCCTTGCCAAATTCTGTCAATAAACTTTGCAAACAAGTCATCTCCTTGCTAACCTCAGTGATAGCAATGTACTTCACTTCTATGCTTGAGAGCGCAACAATCTTCTGTAACTTGGAAACCCAACTAATTGCAGTCTTTTTCAAAGTGAAGATATAACTTGTTGTGTTTCTCCTACCATCAAGATATCCAACAAGATCAGAATCTACATAACCCTATAGTTTAATCCCTGCACCACCAAAGCAAAGATCTTTTTCAATTGATCCTCTCAATTACATGAGAATCCACTTAACTGCCTCCCAATAAAATTTGCCTGGGTTACTCATAAATCATCAGACTACTCCCACTACATATGCTATATCAAATATTGTGCAGATCATAGCATACATCAAACTTTCAACTGCTGAAGTATATAGGGTCTTCTTCATATGTTCTTTCTCTGTCTTATATTTAGGCAATTGTTCCTTGGATAATTAAAAGTCACTAATCAAGGGAGTGCAAATTAGTTTTGTCTCACTCATATTGAATCTCTAAAGCACCATTGGATAAAATATTTTACTAAGTTTTTAATTACTTGATATTCAGTGGATGATCTATCAAACATAAAATTCAGATTATTGCATGTAAATGTCATATGGTGATGATAATTTTAAGAATTGACAAAAACAATTTTTATAACAGGGCATTAGAATTCACTCTTGGAGAGCATACTAATTATATTAAAGAGAAAATGATCAAAACATTCCCTCAACTCTTTGCGAGGGACCAAAATGATCCCCAACTTTTTTTAGGGACAAATTTGATCCTTAAAACGATATCTTTTTTGTCCTAACATTCAATGTTGGAGTTAACTGTCTTAAATATAATAATATTTTGATCTTTTTTAATCAAACATTTATTTAATATGATGAGATGTACTGATTGGATGAGGGGAAAATTCTTTCGATATTCAACATCCACACCTGTATAATATTATTATTTGTCATGTTAGGTCAATCATCACTCGGATGTAATGACAAATCTACATTCTAAAGCATGTGTGATTAAGGACATAAAACAAGCAAACATAAGTGAAAATCAACCTATATACTGATTGGCTTTCTATTTTATAACTTCAAATCTGACCCTAACCATTAACATGTCAATATTCTTTTCCTCCTTAATCTCTAATTTCGGTTGAATATCCTTTGACATCAATACTAACTTTACCTCTATCATCGTCAAATTTTGCTTCCCATACAATATTGTATCAATAATGTTTTCATAAGCTTTTGGTAGTAAGTTAAGCAAGAAGATGCACCTTGCCAAATTCTGTCAATAAACTTTGCAACGAAACCATCTCCCTGCTAGCCTCGGTAATAGCAATGTACTTCGCTTCTATGCTTGAGAGCGTAACAATCTTCTGTAACATGGAAACTCAACTAATTGCAGTCTTTTTCAAAGTGAATATATAACCTGTGGTGCTTCTCCTACCATCAAGATCTCCAACAAGATCAGAATCTACATAACCCTAT